TCCACGAGAGAAACAGATTATGATTTACATAAACAGTTTTCTAAAACTTAAATTAAGGGCTAAAATTCATTTTAAACATTCATTTTTTAAAATGCTAATATGTGACCTCACATTATCTGCCCCCCCCCCCCCACTCATCACAGATCGTCCCCCCTCCCCCTTCTCCCTCTAGGAGTTTGACGTCATTATATAGACTACTTTTATACTCTAACACAGGGGTCTCCAAACTTTTCAGTCCGAGGGCCGCATTAACTATCAAATTTTAGTTCGGGGGCAGTTTTCTTCCTGGCATGTCTTTGATTATTCTGGGCAAAGTTCCTCAGCCATCACCGACAAACTGTTTTTCCGTGGACAAAAAGATTTCCGCGGGCCGGATGAGAGGACATCGCGGGCCGCATCCGGCCCGCGGGCCGTAGTTTGGAGACCCCTGCAGTCTAACATTACCCCTGTAGATTAATTAATGCAGCTAATTAGTTTGTTTATTATTTTATTAAATTAAATAATTGTATATTTCATCGATTTCATCGAATAGTTGGTAATCGCCTCGTTGGTAATCGCCGAGTACACAATCGCCTGGGCAGTAATCGCCCAGTTAACCTGTACTCGAGATTTTCTTTATAGAGGCTGGGGACGAATGGGGACAATTACATTCGACACAAACCATCAGGGGACAAATGGGACAATAAGGTTAGATACTAACAGTCAGGGAACAATGACGTTAGACACTGACAGTAAGGGGACAATGACACTCACCACCAGGGGACCCATGGGGACAATGACGTTACTCCTGAACCGGTCTCGATCTCTGACCGTTGGGTACCCCGCAGAAATCGGGTAGTCCACTCGAAGGGGTCGAGGGTTACCGTCCAGCATAAATTCCACTCGTCATGGTTTCTGATTTCAGCAAACTTCCGTTTCTTATTTTTAACTAATTTAGACCTGCCAAGCCTCGCTCAACGTTTCTTTCGGCTAGAATTCTAAATGTAAGGGAGGCAATCAAGTTTATTAATCTGTAGATAACTCTAATTATTTAATGTCAAAGAACATTTTCAAATTTGTATTGCTTGCACTAAAATTAACAGTGGCTCGATTTAATTAATTGTATCATTCGATTCGCGGGGGGGGGGGGGGTATATGTGTATCCGGCCGCCGACCCTAGGGGACCCTAGGGGGCGCCAAAATTTGTTGAAAAAAAGCTCATTTTAGCTGCAGTTGTGCATTATAAATATAAAAAATATATGGGGGTGGGGGGGGGGGGGCGCCAAATTGAAAGTTTGTTCCGGGGGGGAAGGGGGGGGGCGCCAAATTGAAAGTCTGTCCCCGGGCGACGGGAAGGGTCGCTACGCCCTCTAGGTTAGCCTAACGTCTGTAAATTAAACGGCTAAAAGGCAGAGTTGGGCTAGGATGAATAGGTGATAGGGGAGACAGACTTGGAAGAAGACGCAATCTTAGTTCATTTATATAAAGTAGACTTCAAGTTTTGAGAATCCGTAGGTCTCCATGGGAGATTGAGAGATTATTTTATTTTATTTGAAAGGATGGTAATGGTTGGGATAATGATGCTACAGCCTAGCGCCACTTTTGTTTATAAAAATAATTCTATTTAAAACCCTCTAATTAGATATTTCATTCATAATCGTATTGATAAACCAATTACCTAACAGCAAGTTTAAAATCCTAGAATTTCCCGGACACACGTTCGATGTTTTGTATGTCTTTTTCTTGATGTTTTTCACAAGTTTATTTTTGTTTCAATCCTCTACTTCCCTGTATGAGGTCAAGTCGCTCGTGACGACATCAATGTTTATTTCTTTATTTATTTGAAAAGCAGGGTAAAACAAGACACGCAATCATTTTTACTGATGAGATAGCTGATTGTTGACGTGTCAGGTAACAGGGGACGGCCAAGTAGGGTTGACGGCTGTTTCAAATACGGCCTCTCTGTTGTCGCCACTCGGAAATAACAGTGAGTAGATTAGAAACATCTAGTCTAGGTCTAGATTCTAGAATCTAGATTTCTAGATCTAGAGATGGGTTTGTATTACTATCAGATGAAGATCCAGCTAGATCTAGGTTCGTATAAGATTGGTTTTTTTTTTTTGGGGGGGGGGGGGCTGTCAACATTTTCCCTTGGAGCTCTCTCCCCCCCCCCCCCCCCCTTCCGAAGAAATGCTTGGAAGAGAAACTCTGCTTTCGATCGAAACGCTACTCTTCCGATATGGGTTACCAAGTTGTCATCGCATTTTGTTTAATAAAAACCGCACGCAATGGACACCAGCGAGAAAAGTCTCAAAGGTATTTGAGAGGTGTATAAATTCATTTAAAATCATGCACAGCGTAGTTACAATTAATATGGTTATAAAATCCTGTCTGTCTGGTTTTTTTCGGACTTTACTAAAGATTGGATGTATTTGATGTTTATAATATTTTCGGTAACTAAATAAAATTAAAAAAAAGCAAAAACAATTTGGTTTTCACGTGTAATGGCGACATAAACAATGGCATCCTGCTATTGGATAGGCCGCCATTGATTTTTATTGTACACATTGTAAGCTAAAAATAGAAAGCTAGGTCATGGGGTTTTAAAATTTGCATTGTTATTTAAAAACTTGATCTGCAAAGTTTTGTAAACAAATAGTTATCGATCACTAAGTTACTGTACAGCCAATCAATATTTGTCTTACGAAAGTGAAACATCCGGTTATAACTTAGGCTTGATGAAAATAAATAGAAATGTAGCCTTAAACTCAACAAATTATTTTCAAGTTCTCTGGATTTGCAACTCTTATAGCATTTATTCTAAAAATATAAAAATTTCTAAATTAATTTTAGACTTAAGTTTTTTTTTTAATTTTTTTTTTTACAGTCTAAATCTAAAAAGGCACGTTTTTATTCCATGTCAACAACATTATGGAAGGAATCCGTCAACTCGCTCGCCTCCATTTTAAAATATGTAATGGAATCTTCTCGACTTTTTCTTCTGGGGTCCATTATTGGAGTTAGGATAACGTTTCCGTTATGTTACTGTAAAGTCAATGCCGCTGGGTTATAGACTGGTGGCCTATATGGTGCTTCCAGAGTTTTCTTCCAGACACCTTTTCGGGGTGGGGGGGGGGGGGGGGGAGAAAGGCCAAGCCCCCCCCCCCCCCCACACACGAAAGAAATGGAATTTATATAGAAAATATTAATTTTAACAGTGTTCGAGTTCAGATTTTTCCCCAATGCAAACATAACTGTATCTATTGCGATATAAGGTCTAGAGCACGGCTAACGGTCGCAGTTGCCGGTTGGGCCTAAGAATGCACCACACACAAAAATTATTTTTAAAAAATAAAGCCCAGCGCCAAAGATTATAATGACCTTAACACGGCCTAGGACTGTACTCATAACGTCTGGTTATTATCAAGGAGAGCAGAGTTTCTTCCAGGCATCTCTACGCCCCCCCCCCACCCCCCCCCCCCCCCCCCCCCCCACGAACGATATGAAATTTATATAATCTATATAGAAAATATATACTTTTAACAGTAAGATAGTCTACCGCCCCCCCCCCCCCCCCGAAAATTTCAAATCCCCCCCCCCCCTCCGGAGAAAAAAGTAGAAGAAACACTGAAGGAGAGTAGCAGCTTATGATATAAGAATAATTAAATACGTTCATTTCTGTTTTGTGGGTAAGTGTAACCAGTGGCGTAGCGAGGTCGGGTGTCACCCGGTGCGGCACTTAACGGTGTCCACCCCCCAGAGGCGTAGTGACAAACTTTCAAATTATCGATTTGCACCCCTTCCCCCCCTCAAACTTTCGATTTGCACCCCCCCCCCTCAAGTTTTTCTCTATATATTTTGCTATCTTTTGCCTTGGTGTCACCCCCCCCCCCTAAATGGTGTCACCCGGTGCAAGTCCGCACCCCCCACCCCCCCCCCCCCCTCGCTACGGCCTCTGAGTGTAACAATCCGGCCATTTAGATTTCGGAAATGTATACAGGCCCTATGCCATTTCATTTTGAATAATTTCACCAAGAACTACAACAAATGACTGCAGAGAAAATTATCATTTACATAGCTTTAATGTGTCTGTTGTGGGTTTTTTTTTAATTACTTCTGACGCTGTTTATTTATGTTTTTAGTAAAAATACATTGGTGATCTCAATTACCATGAATAAAGGGAAACTACTGTAAAAACACATCCCGGCTTGCGCATCTACTGGTTATCCGCTTGTATAGGGATTTCATAAAATGTCCAGTGTATGTTATTGGAGTATTTTTTTTCATCCTTACCAAATTTGTCTGCCTTGGAACGGAGATTTTTCTCTAGATACTAAGCTTGTATCCTGGTGTCACTAAGCTGAACTAAGCTCGTACCCAAAGACACTTAATTCGTACCACTGGACACTAAGTTCGTATCCAGTGACACTAAGTTCTTATCCCAGGATGCAAAGTTCGTATCCCGGGACACTATGTTCGTTTTCAGTTACTCTAAATTCGTACTATCGGGACACTACGATCGAACAATAGGGCACTAAGTTCGTATCCCGGAGCACTAACGTTTGAACCTAGTTACTTAGTTCATACCACGGGAGACTACATTCGCACCAAAGTGCACGGTGTTCGTATCTCGAGACACTAAGTTCGTACCCAGGGACACTAAGTTCTTATCCCAGGATGCAAAGTTCGTATCCCGGGACACTGTGTTCGTTTTCAGTTACTCTAAATTCGTACTACGGGACACTACGATCAAACAATAGGGCACTAAGTTCGTATCCCGAGACACAAATTTTGTACCCCGGGACACATTCACTAAGCTTATTTCCTGACAAGCCACCCATGTTGTCTTATGAACGCCTAATTGCAACCTCTAATTACCCTCTAATTGGCCTAGCAGATGGACCACAAAATGGCGGCGGGGGTGTGCATCAACGAGGGAGTACTGTTGGAACTGAGGAAGCGAAAACGGACCCGAAACCTGAAGAAATTCGAATTGTAAGTAGGGGTGGGGGGGGGGTGGAGGTGGAGGTACATAAACATAAGGGGTGGTACATAAGCTTAGGGCTGGTACATAAGCATAAGGGGTGGACGTGCTCCCGGGGACGGGGGGGGGGGAGTTAAGTTTGGGTAGGGGTGTTGGGCAGGGGCGTAGCGAGGGGGGGGGGGGGGTGCGGGGGGACATATGTCCCCGGGCGCCGACCTTAGGGGGCGCCAAAATGGGTTTGAAAAACAATTTGAAAGTTTGAGGGGGGTGTGCAAATCAAAAGTTCGAGGGAGGGGGGGTGCAAATTGAAAGTTTGAGGGGGTGGGGGTGCAAATCGAAAGTTCGAGTGGTGGGGTGCAAATCGAAAGTTTGTCCCCGGGCGCCGGGAAGGGTCGCTACGCCTCTGGTGTTAGGCAGCTTTGCTGGTGTCCCCGGGGAGATTATTTTGCTCGCATTCGACCTGCGTTTTTTGTTACACATGGACCACATTAGTGCAATATTACGTTCAACAGATCTCTTCATTATGACCTCCCTGTTTCAGAACAAGTTCCCGCCCAGCGCCCGGCCCGAGCGAGTGGGCTGGAACCCGGTCTACTGGAGCGAGTACCCCAAGGAGCCCATGTGGACAGTGCCAATGCCCAAGATGTCCGCGACCATCTCCTCTGGGAGGTATGATTTTTCTTTTTATTCTTATTTTTTAACAAGTGGGGGGGGGGGGGGATGTCTTCCACAGGCATCTATTTGAAAACTTTTAAGACCTTCTCATCAATTTAATACCCACCATGCCACCTCCCGCCCACCGAGTACATGACCATCCTCTCTAACCCACAGACTCAATGACTTGACCATCCTCTCTAACCCACAGACTCAATGACTTGACCATCCTCTCTAACCCACAGACTCAATGACTTGACCATCCTCTCTAACCCACAGACTTAATGACTTGACCATCCTACCCTCTCTAACCCACAAACTCAATAACTTGACCATCCTCTCTAACCCACAGACTCAATGACTTGACCATCCTACCATGCCACGCCCCGCCCACCGAGTACATGACCACCCTCTCTAACCCACAGACTCAATGACTTGACCATCCTACCCTCTCTAACCCACAAACTCAATAACTTGACCATCCTCTCTAACCCACAGACTCAATGACTTGACCATCCTACCATGCCACGCCCCGCCCACCGAGTACATGACCACCCTCTCTAACCCACAGACTCAATGACTTGACCATCCTACCCTCTCTAACCCACAAACTCAATAACTTGACCATCCTCTCTAACCCACAGACTCAATGACTTGACCATCCTACCATGCCACGCCCCGCCCACCGAGTACATGACCACCCTCTCTAACCCACAGACTCAATGACTTGACCATCCTACCATGCCACATCCCGCCCACCGAGTACATGACCACCCTCTCTAACCCACAGACTCAATGACATGACCACCCTCTCTAACCCACAAACTCAATAACTTGACCATCCTCTCTAACCCACAGACTCAATGACTTGACCATCCTACCATGCCACGCCCCGCCCACCGAGTACATGACCACCCTCTCTAACCCACAGACTCAATGACTTGACCATCCTACCATGCCACGCCCCGCCCACCGAGTACATGACCTTCCTCTCTAACCCACAGACTCAATGACTTGACCATCCTACCATGCCACGCCCCGCCCACCGAGTACATGACCATCCTCTCTAACCCACAGACTCAATGACTTGACCATCCTACCGTGCCACGCCCCGCCCACCGAGTACATGACCATCCTCTCTAACCCACAGACTCAATGACTTGACCATCCTACCATGCCACGCCCCGCCCACCGAGTACATGACCATCCTCTCTACCCCACAGACTCAATGACTTGACCATCCTACCATGCCACGTCCCGCCCACCGAGTACATGACCACCCTCTCTAACCCACAGACTCAATGACTTGACCATCCTACCATGCCATGTCCCGCCCACCGAGTACATGACCATCCTCTCTAACCCACAGACTCAATGACTTGACCATCCTACCATGCCATGTCCCGCCCACCGAGTACATGACCATCCTCTCTAACCCACAGACTCAATGACTTGACCATCCTACCATGCCATGTCCCGCCCACCGAGTACATAACCATCCTCTCTAACCCACAGACTCAATGACTTGACCATCCTACCATGCCACGTCCCGCCCACCGAGTACATGACCACCCTCTCTAACCCACAGACTCAATGACTTGACCATCCTACCATGCCATGTCCCGCCCACCGAGTACATAACCATCCTCTCTAACCCACAGACTCAATGACTTGACCATCCTACCATGCCACGTCCCGCCCACCGAGTACATGACCATCCTCTCTAACCCACAGACTCAATGACTTGACCATCCTCTCTAACCCACAGACTTAATGACTTGACCATCCTACCATGCCACGCCCCGCCCACCGAGTACATGACCACCCTCTCTAACCCACAGACTCAATGACTTGACCATCCTACCATGCCACGCCCCGCCCACCGAGTACATGACCACCCTCTCTAACCCACAGACTCAATGACTTGACCATCCTACCATGCCACGCCCCGCCCACCGAGTACATGACCACCCTCTCTAACCCACAGACTCAATGACTTGACCATCCTACCATGCCACGCCCCGCCCACCGAGTACATGACCACCCTCTCTAACCCACAGACTCAATGACTTGACCATCCTACCATGCCACGCCCCGCCCACCGAGTACATGACCATCCTCTCTAACCCACAGACTCAATGACTTGACCATCCTACCATGCCACGCCCCGCCCACCGAGTACATGACCACCCTCTCTAACCCACAGACTTAATGACTTGACCATCCTACTATGCCACGTCCCGCCCACCGAGTACATGACCATCCTCTCTAACCCACAGACTCAATGACTTGACCATCCTACCGTGCCACGCCCCGCCCACCGAGTACATGACCACCCTCTCTAACCCACAGACTTAATGACTTGACCATCCTACTATGCCACGTCCCGCCCACCGAGTACATGACCACCCTCTCTAACCCACAGACTCAATGACTTGACCATCCTCTCTAACCCACAGACTCAATGACTTGACCATCCTACCATGCCACGCCCCGCCCACCGAGTACATGACCACCCTCTCTAACCCACAGACTCAATGACTTGACCATCCTACCATGCCACGCCCCGCCCACCGAGTACATGACCACCCTCTCTAACCCACAGACTCAATGACTTGACCATCCTACCATGCCACGTCCCGCCCACCGAGTACATGACCATCCTCTCTAACCCACAGACTCAATGACTTGACCATCCTACCATGCCACGTCCCGCCCACCGAGTACATGACCACCCTCTCTAACCCACAGACTCAATGACTTGACCATCCTACCATGCCACGTCCCGCCCACCGAGTACATGACCATCCACTCTAACCCACAGACTCAATGACTTGACCATCCTACCATGCCACGCCCCGCCCACCGAGTACATGACCACCCTCTCTAACCCACAGACTCAATGACTTGACCATCCTACCATGCCACGCCCCGCCCACCGAGTACATGACCACCCTCTCTAACCCACAGACTCAATGACTTGACCATCCTACCATGCCACGCCCCGCCCACCGAGTACATGACCATCCTCTCTAACCCACAGACTCAATGACTTGACCATCCTACCATGCCACGTCCCGCCCACCGAGTACATGACCATCCTCTCTAACCCACAGACTCAATGACTTGACCATCCTACCATGCCACGTCCCGCCCACCGAGTACATGACCATCCTCTCTAACCCACAGACTCAATGACATGACCATCCTCTCTAACCCACAGACTCAATGACTTGACCATCCTACCATGCCACGTCCCGCCCACCGAGTACATGACCATCCTCTCTAACCCACAGACTCAATGACTTGACCATCCTACCATGCCACGTCCCGCCCACCGAGTACATGACCATCCTCTCTAACCCACAGACTCAATGACTTGACCATCCTACCATGCCACGCCCCGCCCACCGAGTACATGACCATCCTCTCTAACCCACAGACTCAATGACTTGACCCTCCTCTCTAACCCACAGACTCAATGACTTGACCATCCTACCATGCCACGTCCCGCCCACCGAGTACATGACCATCCTCTCTAACCCACAGACTCAATGACTTGACCATCCTACCATGCCACGTCCCGCCCACCGAGTACATGACCATCGCCAGCTGTCCGACATGGGTGCCAGAGATCCCCCACAGGATACCTGCATGGAACCCGTACGTCAGCGAGACCAACACCTGCTTCAGGGACCTTCAGGGTCCGTTAAACCATTAGATAACAGTACCAGATATCAACATCTGCAGGGTCCGTTAAACCATTAGATAACAGTACCAGATATCAACATCTGCAGGGTCCGTTAAACCATTAGATAACAGTACCAGATATCAACATCTGCAGGATCCGCTAAACCATTAGATAACTACCAGATATGAACATATGCAAGGTCCGTTAAACCGTTAGATACAGCACCAGATATACCATCTGCAGGGTCCGTTAAACCATTAGATAACTGCCAGATATAAACATATGCAAGGTCCGTTAAACCGTTAGATACAGCACCAGATATACCATCTGCAGGGTCCGTTAAACCATTAGATAACTGCCAGATATGAACATATGCAAGGTCCGTTAAACCGTTAGATACAGCACCAGATATACCATCTGCAGGGTCCGTTAAACCATTAGATAACTGCCAGATATGAACATATGCAAGGTCCGTTAAACCGTTAGATACAGCACCAGATATACCATCTGCAGGGTCCGTTAAACCATTAGATAACTGCCAGATATAAACATATGCAAGGTCCGTTAAACCGTTAGATACAGCACCAGATATACCATCTGCAGGGTCCGTTAAACCATTAGATAACTGCCAGATATGAACATATGCAAGGTCCGTTAAACCGTTAGATACAGCACCAGATATACCATCTGCAGGGTCCGTTAAACCGTCATATAACTTACAGATAACTCCGTCAGCTAAGTCTGGATGCACTATCCAGTATCTCCGCCTGTTAGGTCAGTTAAACCGTAGGCTACAGTGCCAGATAAGAACATCTGCAAGGTCTGTTAAACCGTAAGATAACAGTACCAGAGACAATGATACAGTCATTACCAGATACATCTGCAGTCCATGCAAACAGTGAAGTAAGAGCCCCTGTCACCCGCCATGAACAGACTTTAAAACATCTTACGACACTATCTAACATGCATTCATTAGCTTAGTTGTGACGCTAGTAATACTAGTATGGGAAAATAAAGATTGCTCGATTATGAACTTTTTTTTTAAATTATCGTTAACTTTTGATTGGCTGGTGATGATTTTTTTTTTTTACTATTAATTCCAACTTAAAATGTTCACTTAAATAAAAGTTTCAGCTCTTCACAGGAAAATGTGAACAACAGAAGCTAAGATGAACAGATATGTGGGAATATTTGTACAAATGCAGTTTTTTTTTCTTGTCCAATAATTTGGGTAAAATATGCTATACTGCAATATTCATGAATTAGTGTCAAAAGTTTATGATGAAAGGAGGATGATGGGAGTGTATTGCCTCACTCATTCCTAGTAGCGTTGTTTAATTTGCCCATTGTATGTCTTGAGTGTACTGTTAGCTAAAAGTATGTGACACAGAAGATGTTATTTATCAATATAGAAAATTATGTACCCAAACTGTGAAATTTATTTGAAATAGCCTTCTTCAGTTTCTGGGTAAATATGGTATAACTTCTTTACACCACATAAAATTGAGATTTGGTTAAACACTGCATGTAGGAAATTTGTAACAAATATAAATACCAGATCTGATGGTGATTTTTATATAGCTTAAAATTTAGATTCGCCAGTTTGGAGAGACTCAAATTCTTTAGCCGTCTTTAATTTAATTGCCTAGGAGCCATTCGCCCCACAATTTAATTCATTTTTTTTAAATAATGCAAATTATTTATTAGTTTAACAATTTTCAAGTACAATCTAATGAATGTTTATACAAAACTATAATTCCTGTTATGTGCACTTTTAGATAGTAACAAGAAATGTGTACTAAACTAATATTTTTAAATACACCAGGTTAATACATTTTTGGCAATCAGTAAAGTCTGCATTTAGATGTCTGATCTAGTCCTTACATTTACGTGATGATCTTGAATCACCAACAATTGTGTTTCTTAGAAATCCTTATGTTGTAAACAGTGAAAAGGTGTATATTAAAATAAGACAAAACACAATAAAAAGTTAATAAATCTTTTTTTTTGTTTGTAAAATTTACAACTTTGCAATTGCCATGTGTTGCATTGAACTATAGTTAGAAGCCACATAGCCCTACTAAGAATAAACATGACCTATAAAATATCATAGTGGAAGGCAATATTTGTTATGATGGCCCAAACTTGTATCAAACTATAAATAGATTCATTTAGACCAACATGCTCTAGTTTCCCTGAGATAATGATGGCACACTACAGACATGTATGTACAACTTGGCTAGTAGAACATTTGTACACTGGTTATTTCCCTTTAGCCTTCAAATATACAAATAGGACACTTTCAACCCACCATTCATCTAAACAATATTTGTTTCATGTGAGCACACATACACATAACAACAGTCAGTCAAACATTCAAACACAACCTAAAGTCAGATATCTATTCGCTCCACTTTGACAACTATCTTCCCTTGCCACATAGGAACTATTGTATTTTCGTCTGATATCTCTTCAAAAACAGCACCTTCTCCAAATTCATCGCTTTGTCTTTTGAAATAATATCTGAAAATATACAAAGTAATAATTACATTGAGATTTAAGGGGAAAAGGTGTGCAAGAAAAAACATGTTATTGCAAATACGTACATAATTTAAAAAAAAATAAAAGCACTTTTTATACGCTGTGAATATTCTGAACTTTTGATTGTTTTAAAAGTTTTTTAAATTTTTTTTTACAACATAGCTTGAACTGTTAGTGCTTGGTAGCATTAGAGGGGTATATTTTTATGGATTTTTCTGTTTAGTACATTTTTTAAAATAGTTTTTGTAGGTACCACATGTAACTTAAATGTAATTTTATTTTTAAAAATTTAGACAAATCCAGCATACAGATAATATTAATTATAAATACAATAATGTCTTTTACTGTAAAAATAGTAAAAGAATTAATGTAATCTTTTGATGGAATATCAATGAATGAGATAAAGGTTGCAAAAAAAAAAAAAAAAAAAACAGCAGTAAATAGAAATATCTACTCACTTAAAAACACCACGTTTGGTAACTAATGTTTTGATCTGTGCTAGAGTAATGACCCGCCCGGGTAATTGATGTCTGTAAGGGATGGGCTCTTGGCCCATATAAATGCCAATAATAGTTTCTGTAGGCTGTACACTTGGAGGGACACTTGTAGCTTGACGCTGCCGTGAGCTGTATAAATAATAATACATAGTCACAATTGTTTCAGGACTTGATTTAACAAAGTAAATTTTAAATACTAATGTACTACTACAAAAGAATTTGATAAACCAAAATAAAAATTGTAAATACTGACTTGGATTTGACAGGAGAAAGACACATTGTCCTTGACTGTGATTGTGTCTCTAATCTTCGTTTGGCCTCTTCTAATTGCGTTGTTGGATTTGGAGGTGTAAGTAAAGGCATACAAGAATCCTGTGCAAAAGGTTGATTAGGTAGTATTGGTGTTGCACCATTCCATGTAGACAGTACACCTCTTTCAACAGATGTTGATCTTTGGCCTGACTTTGACTTGGAACTGTTACACAAAAATTATTTTTATCTAATTAGCAACATATCTTCAAATAAATCAACTAGTTAGAGACATAAAACTTTTTACTACTTAATCTTTACAAATGACACCAAAAATCATACAGATACAAAATGTAAAAGAAAGAGGTAATAATTTTCAGTCTGAATAAATTTCATACAAAAATAAAAAATCAATCATTTTTTTTCTTTGTTAAATATGGAAACTGATTGAATGACAACCTAGAATCTCAATTTATAGCTGCCTGTTTAAATATATCAAGCCATTAGATTCAAAGCAAGTGTCCTTTAAACGGAGGATTATGAACATTTAAGTAGTATAACTACATATGAAAGCTGAAAATGAATACTCTTGGCAGAAAAGGTAAGGTTTTCAAGTTAAGTGTCTAAAATCCGTACATTAAGTGATGGTTTTGAATAGAAGAATATGGTAAAGAAAAATGTCTGACCTTTGTCGAGTAGGCTGTGTTGCAGATTGATTAAGTCTATGAGACCTCTTGTGGGTGGATGAAGTTTTGTCAACATCAGGCAGAATATTGGACACATCTTGGACTGTCTCACTGTCTAGCATCCATTTCATAACCCTAAATGGTCAAGTAAAAAAATAATCAATGCCTCAACTGCTTATATTTCAATACTTCAAGGGTATATAATTTCAGAAAGATAAAATCATTAAAAAACATGCATAAAAAATCTCCAAAGTATCCACAAAAACTAAGATATTTTTCCTCATAAAATCAATACAATTACTTCTCTATTTAAAAAAAAAAAAAACTATTTTTGGACACCTCATAGTAATTTTTCCAAAAAGTAAAACAAGAGTACTTAAAAACCCAATAGAAAGCACCAACTTTTATACAAGAAAGTTCCCCTATTTGCATAAAAAGGAAACTACATCTAATTCCTTCAGAAAATTTTGACTCAAGATCTAGTAAACTTCCTGAACTTAGTCAAGCTTCTAAAGGAGTTTGATTAGTTGAAGTGGTGGTTGGTCATACAATGAATCACCAATTAGCTAACAATCTAAAACCATACTTGAGAAATCCAACATGTAAACAGATAACCATTTGGAATTTTTCCCAAAAATAATCCATGAACAAATAAAAAACTAAAAAGCAATAAAACAATGGCTGAAACGCTCACATAATTCCTTGCTATTTCTTATACTGAAATTTAAAAGTTATTTTTAAAAAGTCATTATTGAGAACAAAACAAAAGCACTGTTATATAGGTTTGGCATTTTGTTGAATACCACCTTTTTAGGAATTGACTAAATTTGCATTTAACAATATTCTATCCACTTTCTCAAGAGTTATATCTGTATAACTGAACTACTCAACAGCTTATTAGCACCTAAAGTTATAAAGTATAGGAATATTAGGAACTAACTATTTTTAAGGGAGATAAAATAAAATTTGTTACAGTTATTAATGCATTTGCAAAAATAAAAAGTTTTTCACAGAAAATAATAAAAATAATAATTGCTTTAATTAAATTACATTTACACTAGAATGTTCAATATTAGAAGCCAACTAATATAATAGAGGGAAATCTCTAATTCATATAAGAATTTTTTAAAAATATAAATACTGTAAGAAAAAAACTAACAGTTGTAGAATAAATAGTGCTTGTTCTCATTAATGATCTGCAAATTAGGACAATTTTTTCATTTAGTCAAAAGGTTAATGGCCTACACCGCCTTAGATCTAGAACTGATTCACTTAAATATTGGCAAATTGAAACATGAATTTGTAAATCTATGGTGTTATTATAAAAGTTACTATCACTTCTTAGCATTCTCATTGAAAGAAATTAAGTTGTATTCAAATAACCTATACTATATGATAAGAGTGTTAAAAATAAGGAAATTAAAATGGACATACTTTTCACTTGTAGGGTTATTCCAATTGGATGCAAGCTTGACAGACTCCATGCCACTGATACCACTGTCAATATTACTACTTGTCTCACAGGTCTTGCGTAAAACATTACTTTTTCTAACACTAGTCCTTCCTCTGCCTGCATTATCAGGATAATCAGAGGTATTGGATGGATTATCTGCCCTCCATGTGGTCTGAGCCTCCACTTCTACCAAGTTCTTTTTGTTAGAGGACTCCCTAGCTGAATGATGGTGGTGGTGATGGTGATGTATATGACGATGAGTCTCTGTGCCGACGATAAGATTACAGTTTTCTATGCCACTATCATATGATACAGACGAGAAATCCCGTTTTTTATGATATGCCCGAGATGCGTAGGCATTTGGTGTAGACACTGATGCAGACAGTCCAATTTTCTTCCTTTGGTGTCTGTCAGGAGATTTACTGTGTGGAGGAGACCCGGTTGGTGAATAGGATGGTGTGTGATGTGAGGAAGATGCCCATATGCGCGAACAATGTTGATCTAGTATACTTTCTGCAGATTCCTCATCCATGGGGGGTATCAATGCAGAGGTGGGAGCTTTAGTTGATGGTATTAATGAAGTACACAAAGGCTTCGCAAAACATGCAATGATCTTGGTTTCTACATCAGATTTATCCACCTGTTTTTTTTAAATTGATGATAAAAAAAATACAGTGTCAAAACAGTATTAAATATTTTATGTGAAAGTTGTTTAGACTATAAATTATTAACATCTTGTCATTTTAAAAGCCGGTTGCTCTCACAAAGTAGAAAATTTTAAAGTCTTGATCTACCATTTTGTTAGCAAACAGTTTACATTTTTAGAAAATAATTAAAATGTATTCAAATCTATATACATATTAAAGAAGCCTCACCTCATTAATGTTAATGCTTCTCAGTTTTTCTTCCATTTTAGCTGAGGACTCTCTTTCTTCAAGGACTTTAGACAATTTATCAATCAGTAACTGAGCAAATCGTAACGGCTCAGTTTCAGCAATGTTTCTATCCTTTGGGGCATGCTCAGTTCGCTAAAATTTATAATAAATAAAATGAGAGGGTTGTCAAAATACTTTATTGGGTAAAGTTAATTTTTCAGTGGACAAATAGCCACAGCTGGAATATTTTTTAAAGTAAAGATGTTATATTTATAATAAACATGGTTACAAATGTAAATGTTCAAGTTAAATTGGTAGCAATTAATAAAGCCACATCCTTTTTATTCCTTTATTTCATTAGTACAATGACCACATACTAAAAATATTTATTTTATAATAATCTATTACTAAGAATGTATGAATTACTTACAGGTATAATTTGTGAATGTAATCCTGTTCTTGGTTCTCTGTTTTGTTGAGCTAAACTTTTCATCATAGCTCTTCTGTGTTTTTTACGAAAATGTTGAGGATACCCATCTCTGTAAATTATAGAAATACATCATAATGATAATGTATGTAATAACCTAATTAGAAAACCTGCAGTAAATTGCATTACACATTCTGTAACATTATACAACTTAAGTAAATTTTTTGCCAATTTTTACTTTAAATATAAGACATGTAGATTAGTCTACTAAGACATGGGCATTAGAGTTCAGTTACGGAAAATGTCTGTACATTGTATTAATTGCACAACTCATTGATAAGAAGTGGCTTGTGTTTTTTTCTCTAAAGACTCTTTTGTAATACTTATCAGAAAAAATTCATCAATATCTGTTGGATGTTGGACTTACAAGCTGCTGTCTGTTACTGAGATAGTGTCATCTGTAAGTGCATCACTTGATAAACTCTGTAGTTCACTGTCTTGGGCAGAGACTGGTGCATAAGACACATGAGCAGGGTATGATGATGGTGTTTTGTACAATGGTGACCTGTCAGTAAACACATTCACTAATTTTAAATATGCAATTCAAATTTGAATAGGAACACAAACATAATTTTGTATAAGATTATAATCGGATGAAGTGAACCTAGCAAAGTTAAAACTATTCAAATGTTTTCACAGAAACCCTTTTTTTTAAACCTTAAGACATTTTGTACTAATTTCATACAAATGTTAGGCAAATCTTTAGAAATTTAAAACTAATGCAATTATTTGTTTTTAGTATATTGAACCCTAGCGTTATAATAATTAGTTTTTAAACAGCTATGTTAACAAAAATAGCATTAAGAACTCACCCTGTTAGAGTTTCTGTTCTACGCACTGATAAATCTGATCTTTTTGTTAATGATGGAGCCTTGATCACAGGTAACGGCATGGATGTATTCAAATCTTTGCTTTCTAATTCCTTATCTTCATGTACAACAGGTAAAAGTCCAGATTGAGAAACTGGCCGAGCACTATTAGAACCACTAGACCTACTTGATTTTGGACTTTCTACATAATTTTGAACATATTGCACATAATAATCTGATCTTAAAAATGCAGGGTATGTAACACTGCGCATATAATTTTCCACCTCCTCCTGGGCTGTATCGAAAATACATTTGTCCAGTGTACTTTTACTCGAAACTTTTTCAGCTATTTCCCTCTTAACTTCCTTTGATATGCATTTTACCTTTTCACTGCGAACATAACGTTTATAAATGGCCTTCTGGATATTTGTAATTGTACAATCCAAAGAATCAACACCTATCTTTCTCTTTAATCCTTGACATGCAAACCAGAATTGCAGTTCTTCAGAACCTCCTTCTAGTTCCTGATCCATGAAAAATTTAAAAAGCTCCACACCTTCCGAATCCTCTAAAAGAAAACTTAAATTTTCAGCCCATTTTAGATGAGGAGGTGTTCCATTTTCAGAGTAAGGAGGTGAGTTGGCAACACTACCTTCAGGTTCAAAACCCAGCGGTGCTGCCATCTCGCTGTCCTCACAGAGACTAGTGTGGATCATGGTATCAGATATTTTAAGCCCTTCCAAGTTGGACTTTCGAGGTGTGGTGGCGGGTGAGTGTGTGGAGGCCACACTTTTGGAGGACGATTTGCTGGATACATGGCTCTTATGAGAGCTGCTGCTTTTGGTTGAATTGCCTCCATTAGACTGAAGCTCATTCTCCTCCCCATATGTAGGTGGTCGAGTTGCAGTTTCAGTAAAATTACTGCCACCAGATTCATTTAAGAAGTCAACAACTTTGGTGGTCATGACAACCAGGGTAATTCCATGAGGTCTAAATAAACCTCAAATGAGAAAAACTGTTATTTCTTCAACATTACCTGTAACAAACAAAAAAGGTAAGTTTATTAATTTGAAAATCTAAATAAAAATGATTATAGTTCTAGATTTATTACAATGAATTTCCTTTAATCCTAGTTAGAAAATATCAGACTTATATTTATAGAGAAAAGCCATTAGTCTAATGAAAAAAGGCTTTATAGAAAAAATTTAATACACAAGAAATTATTGCTCAGATCCTAGCACTTTGATGGGCACTAATGTTTAATGAGGTAATAATACACAGCTAAACTAAACTTTTACTAAAACCAGCTAAAACATTAATTTTAAAGGTTTCTTCCTTAAAAAAATGATCTGAGAACTTTGAACTAAACAGCCACTAAACAAATGTGATATTAAGATGTTAAATGAGCCGAGAATATTCATCCTTTTTAATACATGACAGGTTTTTATTGTGATAATATTTATTTTAATATCACATGTGTTTTTAAAAAAACATTATATGTAGATGTTGGTATAAGTATTCTAATATTTCCATTTTGTTCAGCTATACTATTAAGAGTTTATTTCTATTTCCAAAGAAGAAAGCAGTTCTGTGTGCAGTTCTTTCATCTTTTTTTTTCATTTACACAAGAAATGTTTTTCAAATGAAACAGGCTTAGAGCTGTTGAGAACATCAAAAGAACCATACCCCTCCCTCCCAATCCCCCAAGCCTTTAGCTGTCTACCTGGTAAAATACTTAACATCAAGCTTGCTGGTATCACAAGCAGATTACTAGAGCAATCAAAGCGTACACTATTTCTTTGACCAATACAAACAGCTTTAACATAGTTATGCTTTACTTCTACATTTTTATGTACAATCGAAGTTTTTTGACTTTTTAAAACCCTTTTAAAAACATTCAAAGCATATTTCTTTTATTTTAATTTTATGTTACAAGTATACTTTAACATGTTAAAATTTTTTTAAATTATTCATTTTATTAGTGAATCAAAGCAAGTTGTTTTTTAAAAGTAGACGTAGACTTCTGCATCTGCTTGAACTGGCATTATTATTATTTATGTACAGTTCAGTGATGGGTAAATAATAACATAGAATAGGTTTGCAAACACTTGGGTAACAGCTTTGAGAAGCATTGAGAACGGGTTGTTTCCCCCTTGTTAATAAAAGAAAAGACTGGTGGTCAATAAAAAGACTTCCTCAGCAGGAGTTTAAGTGTATAAGAGAAGTTCAATTATGATAAAAATTGTTGTATTTAAATGGATTGGTAAAAACTAAAATTATAAAGGAATATATTCCCACAAAATAATTATTTTGTCAAATACTTCTGTATACCTTTAAAATGAGTGTATATCTAGAAATCAAAATTGTGTAATATTAATTAGAATCATTTACGTTTTCAGCACTAACACTGTATTTTTTGTTTCTTTTGGTGCATGCTCTTTTAAAAGTTGAGTTTTGACATTTTGTGACAAGTTTTCAAAAAGGTTAGGGATGAGTTGTGTTTAATAAACTGCCCCCAAGATGTTGAAAGTATTCATTTGACATGTATTACAAAAAAAAAAAGTGCCCACAACATTAATTAGTCTGCAATTTTTATGGATCTGAATGTTAGAATGGAGTTAGTACTAGAAAAAAGCTTAAAATATGGACAATTCAATGCTGAAACAATAAATTATTGAACCATAACAGAATTATTAAGAACAATGAAAGATTCCTTTTTAAAACTTTTGGTATTATTATATTGATAGAAGCCAAAGAGTGACATGATCTAGTTAAGTATTTTTAGCACACTAACAAAACAATCCCAAGAAAACTGGGTACCAGGACCGTAAATTGAGGATACAATGTCAGACAATAAACTTCAGCAAATTGGCAAGTAGGTTGTTAGTAGATTATCACAAGTATTGTATCTAGATTTTTATAGTTAGGAAATAGGGTTAGAAATATGATAGGACTAGGGTATGGGGTAGGGTTATCATTGAATTGACATTAGCAAGTAATATTTAGAATCTAGATTAGTAGGCCTATTTAAAATTTAATTAGATCTAACTACCAGTAGCATTACACTACACTAGATCTAAAACCCAAGTCCTAAACCTAAAAACTAACAGTAATACTCCATTTTAAAAAAAATCCTAGATTCTAGATCTATTACTGTGCCATTCATTATGATTATCTGGTAGATCTAGAATTCTTGAATCTATAAGAAATCTAACACTTTAAACTTTAAGTAAATTTCTACTTTACTTTAAGATCATAAATTAAAATATTTTTTTTTTGAAAATTAAATTTTAATATAGAATCTATAAAATGATAAAATTCATATTCTTATGGACGGCAGACTCCCGACTCCAAGACAAAAGTTTTTGAACATTAAATGTTTTGATGTCTAACATAGATTTAGAATCTAGAACTAGATCTAGTAGTTCTAGATCTAGAATCTAGATCTAGATTGTAGATCTAATCTAGATCTAGATTCTAGTAAAACAAGACGTAAAGACCGTAAAAAACTCGCGTAAAGAAGACAGCATCGGCTAACAAGTAAGCAATGATCTATTTTAACCTTATACTAGATCTAGATCTACAATCTAGATCTAGCATTGTTTGGAAATAGATCTAGATCTAGACTGTAAATAAAAGTGAAAACTTACAAATGCTGTAGAAGAATAAACAATTTTTCTCCATTTGAAGAGCAGACCGGTTATTCCATGCTAAAGAAACAAGCCGCCATGAACGCCATTCTGGTTCACCGATCGGACACATAGGGGGCGCTACTATAACTTTAAAAAAAAATACCTTTATTTTTTTTCCTTTATCTTTTCCCTCGACCTCCATCCATCCCTACTCTCAGGCCAAACAATTTTAATATTCTAAGCTAGGCTAGCATGCTCGGGAGGGGGGAAAGCTTTCTTTTGCCAGTCATAGCAACAAAAAGAGCAACTTGATCCGATGTTTCGTTATTCATATAACTTTTTTTTTATTCACACATGAACATTGTTATAAATTGTGAATGAATTGAAAGCTAAGAAGATAAAAACACTTTTTCTTTTGGGGTGAAACTAGAAGTAGCTCACATTATGGATCTCAAGAATCTAGATCTAGAGCTAATAATGATAGGCGATGTTTAATTACGTGGGTATTACAATTCACATTGAAGTAAACCTATAAATGACCAAGCACCAGTTTTATGTCTTAAGACATGGGGAAAACAAATACACAAGCCTGTCCATAATTATTATAATTATATGCAGAATCTATTTTTTATCGCGTACATCGATCAAAAGTAGAGCTAGTATTCGGGGTTATAAGTAAAACGATAGACTAGATCTACATTTATTTTATTTGGACGTTATAGGCCTAAATAATGCGAAACGAGTGTTCTTTAGGCAAAGCTTAAGATCAAAGAATTATGCAATTTATATTTGAGAAACCAAGACATAACAGCGAAGATGAATCACAGTATTTTCTCTGTGTGTATTTTTTTTAAAGTTGTAAAAATAATTTTAATAGTGAGCCTAACAAAACCATTTAAACTGGTTATTTCTATGAAAAAAAAATTCAAACATTCGTTTAAGGCTTAGTTGTCTGTTCTTTTCTGACAAGTTATTCTACTGAAGTGCTGCAAAATAAACAATCTTTCATTTTTTTTTCTTAAATATTATTACTGCAATATTATATTGCCAAACGATTCCCCCTCTATTCGCCTCTCCCTTTCGTCTCCCGACAGCAAAGGTAAAAACTTAAAATAGATCGTTTTCGTTCACAGCCTTCAAGTAAAAAGAGTGGGTAGGGGAGAGAATTATTCGCACAGCATTGGCCCGGTAGCTCTATAAATTACACTCCAGCTCTCTCTTTGATCTTCGCTACATTAAGTCTGACAAAGCCAAAAGTAGTGGGTTTTTTTTTATAGGACAGCTTTATACAGCAGTCAAGTTTTCTTTGGGACAGCTTTAAACGGACGGGAGTCAGTTCTGCGTCCGGGATACGGTGGGGGAGAAAAAGTAGAATTATTAAAATTTAGCCAAACTCGAACACATGCTATACGGATCATGTAATGTGTATGATATGCGAGAGGACAAACTGTAACGGTAAAAAACAAGACTCAAAGGTCTACTCAAAACAGTCCTGACGAATGAGAAATATACGAAACAAAGAATGCGAAATATCCAGTGGATAAAAGAACTAGTTCTATCACCTACACATGAAACGTGTTAGATTAGGGTACGGCTAACCGAAAAGAAATTCAACTAGGTTGCGACCAAAGGTCATAGGTTTCAATTTTTTTTTAAATTAAAAACTGGGCCCTTGTGTTAATAGCTGAAACGTTATCTCACACAAGAGATGCTGCTAAACAAACAGTTTGGGTAAAGCACACATTCAAGTCTAATACTCCCCGCACCTTTGGGATCGTAGAAAAAAACACTACAAACCTACAACCTGATAACCACTTCGGTTAGCCGTACCCTAAAAACCAAATTGTTAGTATAAGGTTGGGAATTTAAATGTCATCGAGGTACAAGTATACAGTGAGAGGGCAATTTTATTAGAGGGTACGGCTAACCGAAGAGAACCCACTAATTTTACCCGTCTAAACCCTCACTAGCGTGTAGCAGAAGTATAAACCAGTAGCGTGTAGTTCAGATGAAATGCTTGCAACGAACTGCGCTTAAAACTACCACACTAGTAACGATTGCCACTTAAAAATAAAATCATTGCTACCTTCCTTTGAAGATATGTCGAGAGGGAGGGAGGGGGGAGTAACAGATGTCGGTTTGTGCTCACATCAAAGGGACTGTGACAGAGACCCCCTGTTTGTTCCGCGCGACACAGCGCGTGCAAGCTGCCAGGGACAGGAGCGGACGAAGACTACGGGGAAGCAACATCAAAGGGCGGGGTGTGAGTGGCGGAACAAAGCTAACAAGAAGATCAAAGAGTTTCTGCCGCCAGTAGCCAAAAGGTTCTAATTACATGTGTTTACGGTGAGAAGAGGAGATCACTCTAGGCTTATGAAGAGTTTCTGTTTTCTTGAGGGGTTTCTTTCATCTCAATCCGAGGCTGCTCGCTTTATTTATATTTTTTTTTTCGTTTTTGTAAAATAAAATAAAAACATGCTTTTTTTAAAAAAAAAGTGTTTGATTTAAGTGGTTAAAAGTTTGTGTGTTAAATGATTAAAATAAATTCTTTTGAAACTTAGAAAAAGTTCAAAGCTGTGCCCTTTTTTAAAATTCACTAGTCATAGTTCTATATATAATTAGTTATCAATGATTTTTAATAGACTTTCCCTCCCCCTTTTTTTTTTAAAAAACAGTCATGTCCAGATGGAAAAAATGATACTCTTTAGAGAAAAAAAAAGTAAAATGATAACCTAGAGAAAGAGATCTAGATCTATATGGGAGCAGCAGGTCCATGAAAAAACAGCTACAACTTTTGTTTACATTTGTATAGGATCTTTAATTTAACTTAAGACTATTTATCACTACAACATTTATAATAAACAGATTTGTTATAACACTGATGAAACACAACCATGGGTTGAATAATAGCCTACCTGTATTTCTAAACTATATTCATTTTACTTTTTGTTTAACTTCAGATGGGGATTATTTCTTTATATTAGTTCATTGAGATAAATTAAAGCGCCTTTTTAATCTTAAGTATGAGCTTTAATTTGTATCTAAATCCAGAATTGAAGTTACATAACCAGATTGCCTAGTTCTAATGTAAACTCAATCAAGCTTTTAAAATCTTAAACTTAAAGGATAACTTAAAAAAGAAATATAAAGTAGCTAAGCATGTAGTCTATTTAGTAAAATGGTTCTTATTTATAATTATTGTTGGCTACATCCAATTAAGTATAACAAGACTGGTACATGGTATCACAGTATTATTTCACAGACAGAATTTAGGTGCAGGACTACAAGAATTTAGATACTTTCAATTTTTGGTATAAAAGACATTGATCAAGAGATTTATGTGGTATCATAAGTGAGTAGTTTATACTAGTTTATAGTAGATCTATATTGTTCTCTAGTGTTCTGTAGACAAGTACAAAAGATGGGCCATATTAAATTATTATTACTCTACTTACAAAGATCTAGATTTCTAGGTCATTGTCTTAGATTCTATATCTAGATCTAGACTTCTAGATTAATACTTGACTACTAGATTTTCAACTGCCATTGTAACTATAAAATACTATAGGCCTACTAACTACTAACTAAAGAGTATAGATCTAGAGAGAGAAAATTACATCATCACATCTTCAAATCACTAAAGTTCACTAAAGTTAATCAAGTTCAGTAGTTTACTAGGCTTCTATATTCTATAGAATAAATTGTAAATAGATAGATTTCTAGACCAATTGGCCTAAATCTTTTCATTCTAGATCTAGATCTAGATTAAAATCTAGATTTCTAGGGCCTCTAGACTACACTATTATAGTCACTATAGTCTATAGTATAGGCCTACAATTCATTTTTTACTTGCAAAATAGTACCTGTGTTGTGCTTGTAATGCTTTGATTAGTTAGTAATGTAATAATAGTGTATAATGTATAATAGTTATGTTTGAGTAGTTACTAGATCTAGTAGATTAGTGGGGGGGGGGGAAGGTCCGTTTTGCTAGGAATACAAGGGGTCGCCTCGACAATCGTCTCTAAGATCTAGATCTAGATCTAGACTCTAGAAACTTGGTCCTAGTCTAGAAAATCTAGAGTAGATTTATATCTAGATTCTATACTCTAGTCTAGATCTAGTGTTGGCCGCGGTTGAAAATCTCAAATTTGGAATGAGTTGAAGTTGATTTGAAAACGAAACAAAAATGCTTGATCTAGATTCTAGTCTCGAAAATAGATCTGGAATAGATATTCCACTAACTCTAACTATTATAATAATAAAATGCTTACCTCATTTGAATAAATGAGACATTTTCCAACTTCGTAAAACGGTACAGCGAAAATATAATCAAATGACACTAAATTTTGTAAATACTAAACACAATCATAGGTGGTAGAAATCCAATCACGAACCTCTAGTCTAAGTCTAACCGACAACTCAGACCCGATACTATAGGTGGACCAACCCGATTTCAACTTTTCTTGTTCGTTACGTTGAAACGATACCAAAACTTAAAATATTACATTCATCTCCCATTTTGATTTTATTTTTTATCCTAATCTAATTATTGGAATCTAGATCTAGGTCTTATAGGGCCTAGACCTAGGCAGATGGTAAATGAATGTTCATTAAATAAATATTGACTAAAATAATCTGCAAAGAAGATTTCTATGCTTAAAACTAAGAAAAAGTCTAGACATGATGTAGGTCAATGTAGACTAGGACTAACATAATGTATTTACCTTATTTTGAATTTTCTTTCAGGCTATATAAATTTGCGATGCTTTTCGGGGAAGAAGCTACAGAATTATCCTCCTTGAACATATGTAAAGAACCTATGTTCTAAACACAGTGTAGTAAAATTCACAACGTGAAAACAGCACACTTAGTTACATTGGTAATCGAATATCCTATTTTGCAAGCAATGGCGGGTTGAATGCGATCCCGCCTCTCCCAATACAAGCACAGGCTGCCGCTCTCACCCCCAACACATCAACAAGTTAGTTCCCCTTCTAGTCACTGATCTCTAGACGGCGTTCTCCCTTCCAACCCCTCGCCTCCCCGGAATCCCCCACGCCGCCGTTCTCTTTTTTCTTTGTTATTGCCGCTTCAAAGGTAGAGATAAAAAACGGGCCCTCGGCTCAACTACAAAGGACCTCTAGACATCAAAGGCAGCATTAGAGCAAAAGGGAGAAAAAGGGTGGGGTTGCGTGTTCGGTAGATTTTGAATGCGGTTTTAAATTGTTTATACATTTAATGTCTTTATACACTATATGGAATATATATATATATATATATATATATATATATATATATATATATATATATATATATATATATATATATATATATATGTGTGTGTGTGTGTGTGTGTGTGATTGTATGTGTATATGATTTGGTGATCTATACGTTTGTATCGACATAGTGTAGATTCACAGAACATAAAAACCGAAAGTTGTTAACAATATTAGGATGAAGACAATTAAACACATGACTGAGGTGGGGGCGTTTTTTCAAATGCATGTCAAGTAGGTATTAAAATAAAAAGCTTCTCTTTCTGATTCAAGAAAAATTCCCCCAAAATGTACCATTTATATACGAGATTATGATGTTTCAGAAGAGCACATCAATAAGTAACATCAAACCGTACATTTAACGCCTGGGAGATCAAAGAAGCTCGCCGTCTCTGCGAGGCTATTTGGTGGTTTCCGTCAGCTGAATGTAAAGAAACCTGGCCTGTGTGTAGCTGCGCCACCTGGCTCTATCGTGGCTTGGGGCTGGCTCGTTGTTGGCTCGGGAGACTCGGCTCTGTTGTGGCTCCATTTTTTTTTTTTTTTAATTCCCAGACATTTTGAAAAATAGATTTAGTCTATGGCTAGATCTAGTGGGCCTATCTATTTATTTTTGTAGGATGACGAATCCAATTCGCTGATAAGTCAGTTCTTAACAGTTTGAACATAATTGGATTATAGGGGTACGGCTAACCGAAAAGCGGAAACACTTTTGGTACAAGTACTTATAAATGTTGGTAAAAAATTCTGTACCAAATAATCTACATCTAGGACTCTTAGTCTTAATTGTTAACAGTTTAGACGACAATTTACGGATAATTTTTTTACAGTTTTTAAGTTCACCGTTTGCACAGGGCTACTACTTGGCTCAGCTGGGTTGTTGGTCACTCGGCTCCGTGGCTGTTGAGACGGAGCCACCTGGCTCTTCGCTGTCGGCGCAGACAAGGTAAAAAGGGCTTTCATGTTTTCCCCCATGTACGAGGCCTCGCCCGCGGCGTCGGTACTGCTGGCCTGAGCGAGGAGGAGAAGGGGGGCGGAAGTGTCGGCGTGCAGGCTCGTTAAATGATTAGAACGAGAGCTGTGATGTGGGGGTGTGTACAGTACCGATATACCCAACTAGACCGACTACAACTAAAATATTTATCTAATCAAAGAAAGATGGGAGACGCTGGGAGGGAGGGGGAGGGGGAGGTGGGTCTTGAAACCTTTTGTTGAATCTGAGCAAGCGAGCGAATTTTTTTTTTAAACAAAGAAGATAAAAATGGAGTTTTTCCCCTTTAGTTATCTTTATGATCTGAGTTGGTAAAAGAATGCGTTTAAGAAAAAAATGAAACAAGGGAAGTAACTATGATAAAATAACCAGTTTGTAAATGTGGCGATTAGGGGGAAATAATGGTGGCAACACTAGCAGTTCGACTAGGCAGAGGTTCTCAAAAAGTTTATTTATCTGCCCCTAAACTATTTGATATTTAACTCTACCTTCTAAATTGAAAATATACTTCTGTACTACTGAACTCCAGCAATAATAATAAATGAACAACTTTTTAAAAAAAACAAGAGTAGCATACCGTCTTAAATGTGTAAGACGTCATTTATGGATCTCCCCCCCCCCCTTCCCCTTAACACACACACACAGACCGACTGCATGTTCTCATGTCATGACATCCCTGCAGTCTAAACACAAGCGTAGGCAGGATTTAGTCGGGGGGGGGGGGGGGAGGAAGGATAAAAAATAAATGTATATAGCCATGTGGGGGTCATCCATAAATGACGTCACGCTTTTTTTGACGATTTTTACCTCCCCCCCCTCCCCTCCGTCACTCGTCGTCACAAAAAGCCAGACCCCCCCCCCCCCTAAAATGACGTCACACCTCAGCCTACAACTCCCCTCGAAATTGCTTTTGGATTTTTCTAAAACATCGATATTTTGATCAATTCTGATTACAACTATTAAAACCGTTTTTTAAAACGCGAAATAACGGCTAAAACTCGTTTTCTAACATTGCTTTTTTATAAATAAAAAAAGTGACGTGACATCATCTGACCCCCCCCCCTTCGCCCTCATCACTCACCGTCATAAAATTACGGACCCCCCCTCCCCCCTACGGGTGTGGCGTCATTTACGGACGACCCCTGTGGATAAAAATAGTGCTGTAACTATCTGAAAAAGTGGACAATTTTTTTGGCGGGGGGGGGGGGGGGGGGGGAAGGGGTTAACCTTCCATAACACCCCCTGCAGACGCCACTAGGCTTACTTCAGTTAAACATGAGTGTTTCGACTGAGGCTGTAAATTATTGTTATTTTCGCTAAAGTGACTTTATTTCTGTAACTCCACCCCCCCCCCCCCCCCCCCCCCATAGTTGATTTCCTGGATTTCTTTCTTTTTATCTGTTATGATGGGTTGTTTTTTTTTGTGTGAAGATACAAGTTTTCGTGTTAGTTTACCGAATCCATTTTGTCAAGGAGTGTCCACCAAGAGTATAAAGCAAGGATCAGACCTCTCGATTTCCAGTCGTGGTATCACTCAATTTAATTGCTTGCAAAATGTGTGGGCTCTTGCGCAAGGGGAAGCAACTCGCATAAATACTGCGCTTCCGTGATAAATTATTGTTAAGGAAAGAAGTATTAAATACAGCTGCAAAATTCTTTAACGTAGGCTTTGGTGTCGTGTAGTAGGACTTTATAAGTATAAACTTTAACAATATACTATTGTAGATGGCTACGCTGGATGTGATATTCAAATTCAGCACACATGTGTTTTACCTGAAATATCGCGTCCACCAATAAAAAGGGGATTTAATCTAAGCCGCAATGATTTCAAACATCAAACACTGTTGATACGACACGCGCTTTCATCCTAGCGCGTTACGTAAGAGATAACCCCCACCCCCCTTCCCCATCAGAACACTATTGGTACGCCCTACCAGCGCCGTATAGTACGTCTGTGGGTATAAAAGGTGGTAGGGGCGGCGAGGGGGTGAAAATGTACTGACCATGTCGGAAGGTGTGGGTCAAGGTCACCTGACGTCCACTTACACAAGCGTGCGAAACGCCTCATTGAAGACGGTGGAGGCCTTTGATGACATCAGAGACACAGCGCCGCCATGTTGCCTTAGTCCATTGAAGTTCAAAGGGCGGTAATTCGTCAGCCCCCGCCTACCACCGGCCTAGTATGGAGCCCGGTGGTCCTTTATCCGGATAATACTATAATTAGATTTTGGTCCTTTATCCGGATGGTACTATAATTAGATTTTGGTCCTTTATCCGGATAATACTATAATTAGATTTTGGTCCTCTATCCGGATGGTACTATAATTAGATTTTGGTCCTTTATCCCGGTGATACTTTAATTAGATTTTGTACTTTTTTTCCTGGTGGTACTCTAATTAGATTTTGGTCCTTTATCCCGATGGAACTATAATTAGATTTCGATCCTTTATCCGGATAATACTATAATTAGATTTTGGTCCTTTATCCCGATGATACTAACTATAATTAGATTTTTGTTCTTTATCCTTATGGTACTATAATTAGATTTTTGCCCTCTAACCGGATAGTACTATAATTAGATTTTTGTCCTCTATCCGGATGGTACTATCATTAAATTTTTGTCCTTCATCAATTATATGTCAGGTAATTTAGATGTTTGGTCCTATTGGCACCAGTGTTTCCTCCAGACTTTTTTTCTCCGGGGGGGGGGGGGGGGGTACTTGAAATCTTTGGGGGGGGGGGGGCGGTAGACTTTTTTCGGGGGGGTGGGGGGGGCGGACACAGTTAATAGTATATATTTTCTATATAAATTATATAAATTTCATTTCGTTCGGGGTGCGGTAATTTTTTTTCAGGGGGGGGGGGTGGGGTAACGAAACTCTGATTGGTACATTTTGGTCCTTTAGATTGATGGCCATATGGCCTGATTTTTCTCCCCTAAATTAAATGGCCAGATATTCCTGATACAAGATCGCCATTTACCCGGATGACCCAATAACCAGATGGTGCTTCAGACGCTTTGCCATACGAATCTAAATGATCCCTTAGATTTAAAAACTCTAGTTAGCTATCGTTAATCTGCGGAAACAGAAAATGAGTTTTAATCGACAAAATGAGAAACGACATTCTAAAAATAATTTTTAATATGAAAAAAAAAATCATATTTCAAGGAAGAATGTTAAGCAAGAAAAATTGTAACAAACAAGGTAATTAAAGAGTCTAGTGACAATTTTAGCGCAATTTCCTTATGTTATCTAAAAATAGCTCTGTCGTAGCGTAAATCAAGAGCAGGGTTAGTAAAACCATTGGTTAGTTATTAAAACGTTTTTTATTAATTTTTTTTTCAGTATTTTACATGTTTTATTTACAATAGAGTTACATGACTAAAAACCATTGCGCGCCTTGCTACCGAACGTGATGGCGCAGCCATTGAACGTGATGGCGCAGCTATTGAACGTGATGACGCGTGTGGTGTGGTTGGATAAACATGCCTACTAATTCGGTCCAAATTTTAATTAATTCAAAAAAATTTTTGTGACCGAACGAAAGGATATTTTTTAAAACTTTTTTCGGCAATATTGTTCTAAATTATGGCAGGAATCGATTGGTAAATGTTTCAAGTCGCTGAGTGGTCTGGTTGCCGAGATATGGGCCAAAAACTGCATTTTTCGAGGTTTTTTGGCTTTTCCGGGAAATCCATGAAAGAAACCCGGAATTTTTATGGCCTATGTTCATCCTCGTAACTTGCTTAACGTAATTGCTTTTGGAACTAGTCCTCGATATTGCTTCGTTGAGGAGGAGATACGACTTAAAGCTGCGGACACACATTCATTCATACATCCATCCATCCAGAAATGACGGGTTAATAAACGCAATTCACCAGAATGGAAATTGCGCTAAAAAATTTATTCCATCCAGTAAATTACGCCATTCTAGACAAACTGTGTTATTTCTCGGATCTAACAAGAAAACGTGGAAAATTTGGTGACACGCCAATACTTATGAGAATTCAACAGACAACAAGCAGGCTTATACAATATATATCACGGGAAATTTTAGTGACCATACAATTGTGCTCTTATGAAAGTCACGATTTAGAAAATGAAAGCATTTTTTTTTAAAGTGCACACGACTGCAACCCATGCCAATAGCTTTCACCTGACGTTTGATAATATTTTGAGTGGGTTTTAGTGTGTGTGTGTGTGTGTGTGTGTGGGTGTTGGTTGGCCCATTCTAATCCCCATCGCCACTAATGCCTGTCCTTACATTAAACTTACATAAAGAGTGCATTAGGATCCGCAAGGTTTTAACAATGTAAGGTCAATTTGTACTTCTTGTTTCGATTTAGATTGAAGAAACACTGATATAGATGATTTGTTGTAAACATCTACACAGTTTTATATTATATTCTATACTGTCCAATTTTTTTTTGTTTGTTAATTATTAAACCTCTCTACAAAAACATTTCACAAGCTTTACCTAGAAGAAAAGTAATATTACTGTACTTTTGCTTAAGTATTGTAATATTGTGTCTGCTAAGCTTGTTATTAATGTTATATGTCTATTAAATTAGCACATCAAGATTGAATGAATCCACAATGATTGGGGAGGGGGGGAAAGAGAATTGTAGCAGTTATACTTGTACACTCCGCAATGTATAGGAATCTACATACAAACTCAGTAGCTTGATTCACATAGACACATTTTGAAAAAACTTGTTTTTCTGTTTAAAAAAAATTTGAGGACTACAAGTTTGTAGATATGACACATTTTTAATAAATTCACAATTATATTTTACATTAAAATAATTTAACCATACACATTTACAAACAAATTAACAAAGCATTTCCTCAATGGTTACTTGTTTAAATAATAATTTGATTAATACAACCCAGATTGCACCCATCCATGCAAGACCCACACACCAGTTTCTGATTGAATGTTGATAACATGGCATTTATCTTCATTTAGTTTGGTACTGTCACAAGCCTTCAACAAATTGATAACAGACTAGATCAATAGTGTTAAATTATAAAATATAAAGTAACAGAAAAACTGGTCCAAATTTTTAAGAGGTTATTTCATGAATGATAATCCCAAATTAGAAAAAAAAAAAAAAACCCCAGAGCTAAAGGGAAGTAACTGGATTTTTGTTTTTATTTTGAAATAAATAGCGTAGTTTATTTACTTAATTAAAGCAGACCAATTCTGTTTTTAATTTAAATTTAATAAAAGCAGGGTCACTAACTCAAATTTGAAAAGCGTCAATCATTAGAGCAATGAAGTAACACTGAATTTTTAAATTCATAGCAGTAAAAATTTTTTTTCAAAATGAGGCCAGAGGTCAAGATATTAAAATTAAGTGCAATGTCTTTGATTTCACAAGTTTAATGCTGCAGTAGTCTTTAAGGAAATCCTCCAACATTGCAGTAAAGTCCTTAAGCAAGGCCTTTAAAATTGAGGTCTGATCCTTCAACCTTTAATACTAGAGTTAGGTCCTTTAGCAACATCCTCTGATGATTAAATTCTCATCGGCCAGCCACAAAACCGCTTATACTGTATAACTTATACTAGTAATTTTAAACAATTGGCCACCTAATTTGTGCAAAAAAACAATTTTGCATCATATTTTCTCTTTTTTTTATTTTTAAATACTACTTTTCTTTAAATTTGACTCTTTCTCTGTACCTCTTCTAGTGCATTTATTCCTTTACTATGGCACGAGACACTTGTTCAAATAAAAACAAAATGAGTGTGTAAGAGTGAAATCAAAGCTCATGCCCTTGTTAGTGTTGGCACAGAGACTCCTGGTGAAAGGACCCAGTCCATCTATGCCATCCCTCTAATACAAGACTGAATGATACAATTTTTTGCTGTGTGTTGTTACTTGTGGCTGGGAGTATCAAGAGTGTGACTTGACCATGAAATAAATGAACAGGATGATAGCGATGAGCACAATCAACATCACACCAAGGAGCATCACACGATTTTGGATAACTCTGAAATGAGAAATGGCGATAATATTGAAACAAGGGGAAAAAATGATTGATTTAAGCTAAAATAGTCTTGAAAATCAATGTGATCATACTAAATTAAAAACAAAAAATCTTTTCAAAAATGGCAATTGATAAAATTTAAAAAACAGTTTTTTTTACTTGATTATTAAATTAGGACAAGGATTTGACTCACCTATGCATCATTCCTGAAAGCAGTCGTGAGCTTTTACCTAATGCTGAATCCATTTCTTGAAGCTAAAATAAAATAAATTACTTAGTGTGATGATATGACAATTTCAGCACATGCATGAAATTTACATGAATCAAACAGAGGGTAACACTGCAGTGCCAGTATAATTTATGTTCATTATTTAATTGTTTGTACACAAATACTGAAGGATTTCTAGTGACAACAATTCTTTTTCAACTATGCACTGGTTTACTGTCATTTTACAATAACTGGTTCATAAAAAAAATGTGATAAGTTTTAAGAACCATGCTGGGTGTATAGTTACAGCAACAGGGTTGGCGGACCAGATATTAAAGAGTGCTGTTCAAGGTTTATTCAGTTCAAACAATGGATAAGAAGCTACTATGCCCTATGGTCCACAAGAGGTACTTTTGGCCAAAAGCTTTTATTAGTTGAGCAGATAAAAACCCAGTCTTCAAACCTACTCAGCGGTTATGCCTGACCAATAAATTTTTTAGATATACTCACTGAATTTAACAGACCATTTCTTCTCTTTCTGTAGCAATAATGATTTAAATAAATGGCTGACTTACCCGACCTCTGGATCGTGTTATTGTCTGCCTTTGGGAATGTAAATCATCTAAAATCTGGCTACCCATTTGTTCTGGAACAAAAATACATTTTTTATTTGTTGATGTTGCCAAGGTGAAAATTCTCATGTGCCAAGCAACAGAACAGAACTTCATAAAATGAGGTTCTAGACACAAGTATTTCCTTGGTTTGAAAAAATTGATGAAGTACTACGATTGTAATAAACTTTCTGAGAATGGTTAACCTAAACAAATAAATTAAATTAACACTTGTTTACAATAATAGCATCTAAATTTGACAACCTGTACTAAAATATCAGCTTGGGATTTGATCATAATAACACATTTTCCCATGACTCTAGTCCCCTAGTTTCAATGTTATCGCCATTTCTCATTTCAGGGTTATCTAAAAGTAGTGCCTGCCTTTTATTTAACTTTACCATCAGTTTGTACAAACACAATGTAGGATTCTCTTAAACAGCTGTTGTATGTTAAATAAGAAAAGCAATTGTCTGGCTTTTAAAGATAATGCATAGAAAAGCACAATTTTTAATAAGAAAATTGAAATGTACAAAATTCTGTACTTCAACACACTTGGGATTTCAAATTAATTTGGATTTTATAAAAAAAGTATGTTAAAAATGGTTACCTGTCTCAATAGCGATTCTGTAGCCGTGGTCCAGCCTCCGACTTGTCCTCTCTAGAGTCTCAGAGTTGTCTAGTAATCTTGCTCGCTGCATTAGAAAAATTTTGCATGAATTATTAAGTACGCTTAGACTTAAAGGCAATAATTTCATTGTTTTAATACTTCACTTAACCGAGTCTTTTGAGGAGCAAAGGGCTGCAACCAGACCTCTATATCAGACTCAGTATTTAGTAGCTCTCTTTAGCTGTGCCCACTTAAGCCAGGCAGCCTTTTTCTCATTTTCTACTTTCCTCTTCCAGGACTTCCTTGGCTGGCCTACTTTCCTGAGAATGTGGTTGTCTCCTCTCCCTTCGCAGTGTATGCCCTGTCCATCCCCTTTTGTGGACTTTAATATCCCTGTCTGTTGGTTGTTGTTTGGTATGTTGCCAAAATGTTTTCATAGCAGTAGATTAATAGAACCAATTGCTTCACAACTAAAACATTATAACATGATTTAGGCATCACAGATTAGGAATAACAGTTTACCTGATCTTCTGAGTCATGGGTGTCATCTCCCAGCAATTCATCTCTATTTGCATCTATTCCAAGCTTTGCTCTCTTCTAAAAAAAAAAATTCTGTATTAGTTAACCTGTTAACTTGTGGAGTTTCTTAACCTTTGCTTAGCTCATGGTATTCAAATGAAAGAATGCTATGTGTAATATGTTGCATAATAAAATGTGTAGTATGTTGCATAATAAAATGTGTTGTATGTTGCATAATAAAAATGTTGCAAACAAGCAACTAAACAAGACAAGTGAATACCAAATCAGCCTGTAGTTTAGTCAACTGGATTTTGAAGCTCTTCACCCGGGTGTGATATTTTTGTCTGTCTTTTGCCTCAAGTTCTTTTACTTCTAGATCCATCTGTTCCAGCTGAAAGATAATATTTATATATTTATCAATTTGTTTTAATTAAAAATGTGAATACAATAATACATTTATTGTGACCTAGAAAGTGTGATATAAACACAAAACTTCATTCAAATTAAATAAACACATACTCACCAACTCATTAGCTTCTTCAAATAACTTCTCTGCTTGTTTAACATAATTTTGTTTCTCAACTGAAATGAAAAAAAAAAGATTTTCTAAGTATGCGAGTTTAATCTGAACTGAATACTGCCTAAAAATGATCCAATCACTGGGTTTCAAGTTTAGATAATTAATTAGCAAAAGACAAAAATTTACAACACTATTACACCATGACTATTAGTAAATTATCTTTTCATTCCAGAAAGAGTTTATAAAAGTTTTGATGCATGCGCCCCTCCCCCCCTCTCCTGAACAATTACAAAAAAATATGGAATTGAAATAGAAAATATTAAACTTCAACCCTTTCTTATAATTGTTACTAGGGAAAAGTAACTACCCAAATCCCAACTGCAGACAAGACTATAAGTCAGTAGATCTATGTATAAGACGTAGATCTACTACTTAGATTCTATGTTTTAAAATGGTTGTTCTTTAATGCTAGGTGTAGGCTTCTACATCAGAAGTTAATGTTCTTGGGAAAGTAAGTTTACTTAATACTTAATCTAGGCCCTAGGTTGTTTTATTTATTTCTGCCATTGTAGATGATGACTACCCACCAAACATTTAATTATTAATTATTGTAAATATGCAAAAATGACATATGATTATTGATTATTGTGGCTATCACAATCAATGATCATTTCTTAATTTCTAGTACTTCAGTAGCTAAACTAGATCTACTAACTACTAATAAACTAACTAATCTAAGCTAAGTCATCCAAGTATCCAAGATTCTAAGTCTCAGTCTAAACTCTCTAAAACTGACTAAAACTCTACTCAGTCTACTGGAGTACTGGGACTATCTGTATTGTAAAAAAGTAAAATACTCCTCACCTCCTTGAGAAGTCGCTATCTTTCCGATATTATGGGTAATATCGGCAGTAACCGTTGAATATTGCTGTTCGTAGCTTTGTATTAAATTCATGTTTGATTTAATAGAAATTCAACCTCATCCGTATCTTTGAAAAAAATAATAAATTACGGAACAGAGCTGGCTGATATCGATTTTGGATTTGCTCACTGAATTTTTATTATTTAGGCTATCAGAACAGGAATATAAAGCAATCCGATTGGTTGGCTAAAAACAAATGTCACGTGATCTTCCATTTAATAATTAAAAATAGACTAGGCGGTGTTGAGGGGGTTCTGTCAACACCCATTCCACGTCAAAATTGGACTAGATCTAGATCTATATTATTATCATTCAACAGCATTAGGCTACCACAGTTCAGAATGCCAAAATGAGACACAATGAATAGGCTGCGTATAAGATCAAACGCGGTCTAGACTCTGACCCCAATAAAAAGAAAATTGTATGCGGAGCCCGCAAATTTGTCAAACACCGTCCAGTTCGATAACGTCGATGGTCTTGTTGTTTTATTTCTCCGATATAAATAACTAGCTGCATCCCGTGCTCCGCCACGGTAAATCTTTTTAAAATATACCAACTTTGGAACAGAACAAAACAAACAAAAACACAACACAAACACAAACAAAACACAACCACAACACAACCACATTACAACCACAACACAACCACAACCACAACACACGGTAAATCTTTTTTAAATGTACCAAGTTGGGAACAGAACAAAACTAAATACAACACAAACGAACGCAAAGAAAAAACAAAAACGAAAAAACAAACACAACACTCAACATAAACTCAATTTAAATGTAATCATAAAGGCATATTGCTCACAGTCTATCCCGTAGCGCCAAAACGCGCCCTTTCCGAGCGCCGGCGGAAAATTTCGATTTACACCCTCCCACCTCCCTCAAACTTTCGATTTCCACCCCCCCCCCCCCTCTTGCTACGCCTCTGTTATAAAACCCCTAGCTTTTCCGCAAATAAATTAAAGGCAGTATTTAGAATATCCGTGTTTTACCGACCATATTGCACTTTATAAATTCATGCATTTTTTCAGTACTTTTAAAAATTTACAATAAAGTTTCATGACTAAAACCATTGCGCACCTAATGAACGTGATGACTTAATATAGTAATGGAGAATAGTTGATTAAAAATTATAATTAGTAAGCAGTACATTCTGTGAATAAAATAAATAAAAGATAGCCTTTTATCAATCAATGCTAATAATAATATTCCAACAATAATGTGCTCTTACACGTCTGCATAATTTGCATTCACAGTTTGCTAATTATATTATTCCAACAATTATTCCGTCTTGCAGATTTTGCATTCACATTTTTAGCGTGAGTTCAATTTATCTTTGAATTACCTCCATTGGCAAAATTACTAAGCAGTTTAATTAGATTTTTCTACCGTACTGTTATTATGTTATTAATATGTATCCAATTTTTCTGGGAATATTAACGAAAACGATATTTGACATTGATCCTTTTAATATGTTTTAGCAATGTGCGTGTATTTAATATTCTCTTTACGTTATGCAAAATTGTACAAACAGTGGAAATTATAAAATAGATCTATGTCATTATATAAACAAACCCTACTCTATTTCTTATAATAAGACACTGCGGTGCACTGAAAAGCACAGCATGGTGCGTAGTTTACTTTTATAGTCCAAAAATCTATAGCGATGACGGACGGAAGGACAGACACAGCCCGCTTATATTATAGATAATATAATACTATTAAGAACGAAGAATAAGAATGTAGAACAGTAGCGTACGCAGGGGGGAGCGGGGGGAGCGGCCGCTCCCCCTCTGGCCATTTTCAGCAAAGTGGCGCCTTTTTGGAAACTTTTTAAACTCAAAGTTCTAAACAATGATATTTGTTAAAAAAAATATTTTTGGTCGGCACATCTATGTAAATCACAAGATTTCTTTTCATGCAGCAATTAAGCATTAATGAAATGTACTAGGCTAGTAGTGTCTACGTTTACAACACGTATTAACAGCTGCATCAGTTTGCCATTCTAAAAATAACCATTACGATGCATTGCAGTGTTAAAAAACCTCTACGTTAGTACCACTTGGCAAGAGGGGTGTTAAGTTTAAGGCAACTGTATAATGTATTTGCTTACGAATAATTAAATTAGAAAAAATTACAATACAGAAACAAATACAACTGATGTGGCATCTCTATATAAATTTACTTATGAGCAAACTGAGTAGTGGTGGGGAAATTTTGACAAGTAGTAGTATTCTTACAGTTTGGGTTGGGCGATAGTGATTACGATTACAAATGATATGAAACAGTTACAACCCCCCTCCCCCATGGACCCCTCTGTAAAAAAAAATTGTCATAATACCACTGCTACTTATTTAAATCTATTTCTGTAATATATATTTGTGTAATATATATTTGTGTAATATATATTTGTGTAATATATATTTGTGTAATATATATGTATGTTTAGAACAGTCATCTAAAAACTTACGCTATGTTCACTCTGAGTTGGTTATCTCCCCCCCCCCCACCCCCCCCCCCCCCCCCCCCACACCTCACCACCACAATTGTGTAGAGCGACATTAATGTCACACCTAGGTATACACTGGGTTGGATAATTGACCTAAAGTGACCGGACAGTGGTGAATGAAGTTGAATCCCCCCCCCCTCCCCAACCTACCCCGAACGGATGTTAAGTACATGTAGAAAAACACGTAATGATGTACCAAAGTACCATGCCGCCAGAAAATTAGCTTTTTAAACGTAAAACTCTATGAATTTTGTTTTTGCAATTACCAGTAAAAAGGTGTGTGATCAATACAGTGATCTAACCCATACCTATCACTATTTTAAAAAATGATCTTTAAAGAACACAAAGAAGCAGTAGTTACTTCAAATATATGATCTTAACTAAAAGACCGATATTTAGTTAAATACAGGCTGTTATTCCGAATGTTTTTCTTTTCTATTTGAAAAGCGTGCTTTTATACCAACTCTGATTTAAAAAACTTTCATTATGCTGTAATACCTTAGCATTTATGATGACGATATATTAAATTCTGATTATAGACAAAACATTTTGTAAACACGAATATATATTGTTAAGCAATTTTATTATATTCTAAAGTAATTATTTTTTTTGTTTTGACATTTATAATTAAATGTGTAGATATATACATATTTATATTAGTAGAGTGATTAGTTCCCCTATTTCATTTGTCTTTTAAATAATTTCCCAGGAATTATTATGTAAGAATTTTTTTTTACAAGAATTACAAAACAGATTGTGTTACGTTAATTGTTTTTGGTTGTAGTGTATATATATATATATATATATATATATATATATATATTTTGTATAGATTGATACAATTTCTGTTTTGTCGCCCTTGTTTTTTCTTATTTCTTCAGAGTGCTACTTTCAATTTATTTTACATTATAGCGAAGTAATGACATACAGCTTGTATATATATATATATATATATATATATATATATATATATATATATATATATATATATATATATATATATATATATATATATATATAATACACGTATATAGAACGTGTTAAAAATTCGGCGCCTTTTTTTGCTCTTTTCGCTCCCCCTACAACGAAAACCTGGATACGCCTCTGATGTAGAAGAAGACTTAATATTGACAACTTGCAACAATACAATGAAGATAAATGAAAACAAACTAAAAGAAGTGATACTTGGAGGTGTAGTGTCAAATGGTATTGATCAAGACGTCAGGAATCAGAATTACAAGGAAATGAATATAACTTTCTTAAGACAGTGTGTACTTTAAATGCATTGTCGACAAACACTGAACTAAAAATCACTTTAATCAACCAATCATCTCGTAATTTAACTCATGAAGCCGTTGGGGTACCACAGTTGATTTTCTCATTATTTTCTAACCCCTTTCTACGTCATCTGCTGCTCTAAGTAGCTAAGTTATTTTGTGATTCTGCAACGGGCAAAAAAGTCCATTCCCTGATGCCCCCCCCCCCATTAGGGCACTAATGTAAACTCTATTTTAGTTTTAAGACTCAAATATACAGATAAAAATCAAGTAATCCTCAGAAACTCAAAAAGTACATATTCACCAAACTAAATTTCAAAGCTATGCCTATGAAAGATATTCAGACAAGCACTGGAGAACAGCATAAGGAAAGGTAGTGGGGATGGTGGAGACATACCCCCAGTAAGACAGTTATAAACAGGCACTAGAAATAGGAAAATTGGGCTAAAAGTGTCATATAAAGGACTTAAGGTGCTCGTTCGAAATATAGATATTGTAAACTGCTATGGGTTGGGGTTGAAAAGTGAAAAGAGTAGCCACAATTTCGTTGACGAAATGTTGTCTCTGCTCAAAGCTCCTCGAGAAAGCAAACAAAATAAGAATGAATATAAGAGTTTAGTAAAGGTGGTTCGATGCAGGTGACACCATTTAAGGGGGGGGGGGGGGAGATCAAGCCTAAAAAAAGATTGTTAAAATTTCATGTCAGAATATTTAAAATAATGAAAGGGTAGATGGTTGGGTGATACCAAACTGATAATGCAATCGTTTAGAATGGGGGGGGGGTCGTGTTGACACCACCAAATACCTCACCAGGTGACACCCGACGCCACTGCAGTTATCGTGTATTACGCAACAACCAGTCAAATACTCATCACTGCTATCATTGATGAATTTCAATGGTGAGCTGTTACAGTAAAAACGGTTGTAGTAAAGACGTACGATACTCCAGAGGCGTAGCGACCCTTCCCGGTGCCCGGGGACAAACTTTTCGATTTGCACCCCCCCCCCCCCCTCAAGATTTCGATTTGCACCCCACCTCAAACTTTCGATTTGCACCCCCCCCCCCCTCAAGATTTCGATTTGCACCCCCCTTAAACTTTTCGATTTGCACCCCCCTCAAGATTTCGATTTGCACCCCCTCTCAAACTTTCGATTTGCACACCCCCCTCGAGATTTCTATTTGCACCCCCCCCCTCAAACTTTCGATTTGCACCCCCCCTCAACCTTTCAATTTATTTTTCCAACCCATTTTGGCGCCCCCTAAGGTCGGCGCCCGGGGACATATGTCCCCCCCCCCCCCCCTCGCTACGCTACTGCGATACTCTCGATCTAAATAAACTTGCCAACTATTAAGTTACTACCTTTAAGGTGACATTGCAATTAATGTAGTCCTACTGACATAACATCGGTAAAGTACTAGAATCTACGCGGTTTTTTAAAGGCAATTTTTAATTACTATAACCTTAATTTTTGCAAAACTGTATCCCCTTTCACCCGCAATGGCACTTAGGTTATTTTTCTGTTCAGATACAAACACTTCACTTCGGATTCCATGGTATTTATAACTCTTTATGGATAAAGAAAATATATATACTATACAAATTAGAAGTCGCTGATAGAATGCAATCGATACTCTTGAGTGAAATTAGTTATTATAAATATTATAATATTATAAATTATAAGGTATCAAAATGTATTTTATAATTTTATGGAACTTAACCGCATGTAACTCCATACACTAATTTGATACCCAGAGTTTATAGTATATAGGTGTTGGCACCGAAATATTAGGAGAAAAAAAAATAATGGAAGCAATGTTGCGCAATCTTTCTGTTATACAGTTTAGGAAATTACTCACCCGGACTTACTCACCCCATAATAAACGATAGACTGATCATTTAAAATAAAATACCGAAACATTTTGAATATTGATAATTTGTTTTTAATAACACTTAAAGATATGCAATAAATTAAAAAGTTTTTAAAAGTATGTTGTTGTTTACTGAGTTCAAGAAAACTATCACTGTTAAATTATATCTTTTCCAATAAATGTTTATTAACGACAACCCCCAAATATGTCTAAAAATAGTTCACCAATGAAAATACAGAAAATACGGAAAATAAAAACAAGAGTAAAATAGGTCATGGGGTGTCATAGCATGAGTAATCCTTGATAAATTCATAGCCATAGCTAAGTAGCCACAGAGGTGGTTGTTGAATCTTGTCTAGTCCAGGCCGAGTTCAGCAGTTAGATTCTGGACTACTTTTGTGGTTGGACTGTTGGTATTGTTGATATAAGAGGCAACCATTTAGACAAGTAGTTGTGGGATAGGCCTACAATACTGAATTTAAATAAAATGAAACTATTCCATCACAATCATCAATGTTTGGTAGCTGCTGTTCTTTTCACCGTGCCTTTGGCACTGTTTGGAAGTGGTAAGAATATAAATTTAAATTATAATTATTATAAATAATATATATTAGAATCTATATACTATATACTATATAGTCTATATCATTTTATATAGATCTATATGTAGATCTATATATTATATATTTATTATATATTATATTAATATAATATATTAATAATTAATAAAATTTGACAGATCTAGGCCTAACTACTAGATCTAACGTTATTAACTAAATAAATAAATCACTAGGGCCTAGATTCCCTAGATGTAGAATTCTATGTGGTATGTCTAAATTAATAAAGTGACACAAGGCAAAAAAATTAATAATAATTATTAAATAATTAATATAAATAATAATTTATTCTTGTTAGTTAGTGACTCTAGTCTGAAGTCTAGTAACTAGATCTAGTAGTTAGTCTAGATCTAGTAGTTAATACTAGTTAAGTATAGGATCGAGGCCTATGGACTAAAGAGTTAGGTATTAGTTATTGTAGATCTAACAATTTAATACTTTAAAGGGGTCATCCATAAATGTCAAATGACATCACGCTTTTTTGATGATTTTTACCTTCCCCCCCTCTCCTCCATCACTCGTTGTCACAAAAAGCCAGACCCCCCCCTAAAATGACGTCACACCTCAGCCTACTACCCCCCTCAAAATTGCAGTTGAATTTTTTTTAAAACATCGATATTTTTCTAGAATCTTGTCTGAACTATGTCAAAATAGAATATTTTAATCAATTCCTATTACAATTTATTAAAACAGTTTTCTAAAATGCGAAATAATGCCTAAAATTTGTTTTCTAACATTGGTTTTTTATAATGCAAAAGTGTAAGTCGCACCATCTGAGCACCCCCCCCCCCCATCACAAAATTATGGACCCCCCTTCCCCCTATGAGTGTGACGTCATTTATGGACAACCCCTAAGTAGATCTAGTAAATATGTGGTGGGCCTACATACTACATAGTTAGTACATAGGCCTAATTCTAAATAATACATTGTTTTTATATTTATGAATGGGGTGGGGGTAATTTAATTTACCTTTATTTTTCTAGGTTTACTAGATCAAGCCTATTTAAAAAAAAATGAATAAGGGGTACTTACATGAAGCGAGGTTAATTAAGTTATTATAAATTTTATAAATATATGAATATTGAAGTTGCTTGTTAGTAGTAATATGCATCTATTTAAAGTATGAATATACATTTGCTATGTAGCTTAAAGATTGAATAACTTACAATGCATACATACATCTTTGTTTCCTAGCTGAAAAGTGTCCTGATCATGTTACAACAGTCAACAAAGGCTTCACAGCTGTACACAACAGCATATGCTACCTGTTTGTTGATAGAGAGGTGTACTGGAAACAGGCTCGGTCAGCTTGCTGGGATCTAGGTGGTGAGATGCTGGCCATTGAAAGCGAGGACGCCATGCAGTTTGTCAAGAAAACATTGGATTCTACTGAGCTGCGCTGGAAGAGACAGGGTGTCTGGTTGGGAGCAAGTTTGGAAAGAGGCACCTGGAGGTTTACAAACGGTGAGTTGTGCAGCTCCAGTGGTAGGGCTATATATCAGTACTGTCAGAAGGCAGGTCATACCATTTAAGTGGTGTCACCAAATCAAAAAATCATAACATTTACTTTACTGTCAAGGAGGTTGGCATGGTTGGGTTAGTACAGCTCATGGTTGCTAAACCGAAAAGTCCCGAGTTTGAATCCTCGGGCTCGATAGCTTGGCACAGAAACCTTTTTATGAGAGACTACTCGAAAATCAAATAACTGCTATGTTGTAGTTTGTTATTGGTTGGACAAAGGCTATGGAAGCAAATTGAAAAAGAAAAGCAAGCTGAAATCGGTGTCAACAGCCTATATGGCACATTGCAAGTTGACACCAATTGTGTTGGAGAAATGTCTTCCAACATTACAATTAAGAACGAAGAAGAAGAAGACTATCTAAACAGTTATCTGGTTAAAAATAATAAAATAGTAAAGAGATGGCCGGCACCAACAATTTTTGGAGGTGGAGTGACATCCTCAGTTACCACACCCGATGGCAATGGACTTAGTGAAAGTGATGGCACTGCTATAGTGGTGTTTCAGACAAATGAATAGTGGTATTAAATCAGAAGTAGAAGATAGTACGCACAGTCAACAAATCCTTACAAAATATAATAAAGCTTCACTACATTTTGTTGTTTATGACATATAACGCTATATTTTTTACAGGTCGAATAATGAACTATAAATATTGGGAAGATGGCCAACCTAGTCAAGTATTGGGACCCTTTACTGTAGAGACGTGCAGTGTAATGCGGAAAGACAGCAACTGGCGCTGGCATGATTCAATTTGTGGCTCTTTGCGCTTTCATTACAACTATATTTGTCAGTTTCGTAAGTACTATATTCCATACAGAAATTTAATTAAAACTCCATAAAAAATGAAGATAAATAATTTCAACACATTTACACTAAGAACTAGTCTACTGGTATAACATTTTGTAGTAATAATTTTATAAAGGATGTCTGGGTAATGTATAATTGATGTTCTTTTATTTGTTTTAGCCATCAGGCAGTCAGGGGAGAACAGAGTGTCAGCCATGTCCCAAATACAGGCTGAGGATAATGGAAATCGTAAGATTCTTTTTATAGTCCTAGATAGTTTTCTATGCTTTGCTTGTAGGGTGGGTGTATCGCTATCCTATCAGTGATTCTGACAAAAAAATCCTAGATACTCTATACATTTTGAACTTCCATTGAATATATTTAGTAGATTTTTTAAATGGGAGCTGAATAGGTTATTACTGTTCATCGTAGTAAAAATATTTAGAAACACCATACAGATGTCTGCAGTGCTTGAATTACATAGACAACATTTTGATTTAAATGATTAAACATGCTATCACTCTTCTGTTAGAATAAACAGTGACAAATTAAAATTCTGTCACTGCGTTGGCTATGTAATGAACTTTTTTAATAAGAAAACATCATTAAGTATTTTTATTATTATTTAAAAAACTTTATGTGCATGTTCTGCTAGAACATTCATGAAGAAAATGAATATCATTTCAGGCAATATTCTTGTGATCATCATCAGCCTGACAATTTGTATATTGCTAGTCATGGTGCTGATTGTTCTCGTGCTGCATTTCCACTACCAAAATTTAAAGAAGAACACACCAGAGGCTGCTGTACACTTTAACAACGACACTTCACACAGCTCGTCTGCACCTGTCTCCGAGCAGTCCAGAATAACAACTGATCTTCTACCAGCTGTACCTAAGAGTATGGCTCCACTCTATACTGAGGTTGGTTGTGTACATATATATATTATTCTTATACTTACACATAAGTTTTATGCTGACAAATATAGTTGTTATACTGACAGTTATTTCACATAGTAGATACACTAAAGGGGGTGGCATGGTCTAGTGGTAGGATGTGAGAGAAATGCCTGATTCTTAACCCTGTTCTGGTCCGCATGGCTAATGACCAATAGCTTGAGCTGGTAATGACCATAAATGAGATAGTAGATAAATTGACAGGTATAGCACATGGCAGTTACACTGACAGGTATAGCACATGGTAGTTACACTGACATTTGTAGCACATGGTAGATACACTAACAGCTCCACCACATGGATTTTACATTGAAAGCTAAATCATATTACAGACTGCACAATTGGTGCTGTGGAAGTAGCACATAAATCTGTACTATAGAAGTAAATCCCTAAATACTGACTATATTGTATTATCACTCTTAACTGATAATCCTACTATATATTTACATCCACTGGATTTATAGAGTTAAAATTTAATCTAATGTTGTCTTGGCTCGTAGGTGGTTAAACCAAACAATCATCTTGAAAAGATGAAACCACCCCCATTGACTACCTGCAACTGTGGACCTGCGCTTGAGGGGGCTTGTGGGGGAAGTGACCCTGAGGTGGACACACCCCTCATGAAGTCCAGTGAGTCGTTTACACCCCCACCGTGTGGCAAATGTGACCAGTACGTGGACATGCAAAGCCTGGGTAAGGGAGACAACCACACGTACAGCAACGAAGAGAAGCCGAACTTTGCGGGAGATAATTTCTATGAGAGCTTGCCGTGAAGGATCACTTGAAGGCTTCTGTAGAAGCCACAGAGATTAAAAAAAAAACACAACTCCTCTACAGGTCAAACTTTCAGTAGACCTCAGAGGTAGAGGAGAAGAAGAAAAATTACTGCTTGTAATTTTATCAAACTTCATAACAGAGACAGCCCACAGCAGGCTTTGTATCTAGCTAGAAGCATCGCAACTGTTGTAGGCGACCACAGTACGTGTTAAAAGATAGACATTTCAAATACTGTAGATTGTGGTATTTGTTGAACGGTCCACAACAGCTTAATAATCAACTGTTCCAGCATTATTGTTTTTATACTTTACTTTAACCCACCTAGTGCAATACCGGTGTGTGCAAATGTCTTGTGACCAAATGTAAATGCAATTTCATATCAGTAGATTACATGTTGTGTTAAAATCATGCTTGATTCATGACGTACACATTTTTAACAAATTTTTTATTAACATTTTTATCAAATGCCATTTACTGTTGTTTTTTTTTAAATTTACATTTTTAGAATTATTAAAGAAAATTTAAAAAAAAAACCTCAAGAAGTTACAAAGCTTAACATAGAATTTGTGTTGTTAGTATCATATTATAGATAAAAGATTGGATGGCTATGAAAAAATGATAACAGGTTGTTATATATGCAATAGGAGACAGCATGGCCTAGCTGTAGACTGCTAACCTGAGAGACGCGAGTTAGAATCTGGGTACAAGTCAGTAGAACGTCCACCCAGCTCTCATGGATATCTAGTTCACATTAGGGAAACAAAGGTGGTTGAGCATAGTGATGACCACATTATCCCCTTGTATAGAGAGGTCATTGTAAAAGATCAAATCGGCTTACCTCCACCATGTGTCTTGGGCACAAATGGGAAAAGATGATCCATGTAATATTTTAAAAAAATGTTTTCAAGTAAAGGTAAAATGTTGTTTAGGCTTGAAGGTTTACTAAGTTCTGTGACCCTGGCATATGAAAGTATTACACTGTCAGCACTATTCCCCTTTAAGGTACCCACGGAACTGGGTTTACTCAGTGAGAACTTAAATACCTAACAGGACTGGAAATACAATGAGACTTAATTCTTATCTGTAATGGATTGTGTTAAAAATGATTCACCATCTTAAAGAAGAAGTAGGCCCTACAAAGAATGAAAATAATGTTCAGAACAATGTTGCTTGTCAGTACATGTGAGGAAGGGACTAACTAGTAGTATACACTACTTCACAAGTTGCTGCATAAAACAGTGAACAAATGAAAGTACACTACTTCACAAGTTGCTGCATAAAACAGTGAACAAATGAAAGTATTAGACCTGACGGTGTTACCAACTGAAGGAAACTCACTGTTAAAATGAGTCTACGATTCTGTGAATATTCTAATTACAACCTCTCAAAGAAGCAGGCCTACAACTATTTTAGTATCTGAATTAATTGCAAATTGTAAACATCATTGTTAGTTTAAAAAAAAAAAAAACAAACTTTTGTCTTCTTTTCAAATGTAAAAAAAAAATGTTCTATAATGAAAGTTTGCAGTACACAATATTCTCAAATTAAAAAGTGAATAACTTGAAGCATAGGGATTATTTTAAAAATAAAGTTTTTATTAATTCAATTTAAAAAAAACAACCCTCTAAAAACATTCTTTATAACACCAGTATATTAAACACCATGTCTAGATACATCTTTATATCAAACCATTGTTTAAGAACGACTGTTAAAAATTACCCTTTTATATTTTACACTTATACTGAAACAAGTCATTTATTCAATGGAATATAGCCCCTTTGAAGCCATAGATTTAGAAAAAATGATTGCATTTTCAGAAAAACCACATACATATTAATTAAATAAACATGGAAGAAAGAAATCGACTTTATACACTTATCCCTTGATATTACTTATAATTATAAACATACTTCTTGGGTATAAATAAAAAAAAAACAATTTCAAATTGTAATAATGATCAGGTAATAAGGTACTTTATACTCAGCTAAAATGATTTGATGAATGTGGAAAAGCAGTTCGTCATATATTAGTGCAAAATACTTATTGTAAATAACAAGCAAATAACAAAACACTAACACTTTCAATAACTAAGGGACCACATGTCACAATGAATGTATATCTACCACTACCTCTCTGTTCTTGATATTAAAGACTACATTTATTTGAATATTACCTCCCCTCCCCAATGCCTTGGAGTTTCATATAATGACTAAATATAAAATAAATTAGCATACATTGTTTAGAACTTAAAGGAGACAAGCTGGAGTGGAATTACACTTTTTCCTCAAGGCCTACTTTGTATAACGTCTACATAACTATTATATAGTTAATCATAGCCAACGGTAATCCATAAAAACAAACAAAAGTTAGGTTATCAAATTAGAAATTATTAAAACATGTAAAACTCTGTCTCCCCATAAAAGCCCTGAACATAACAGCAATTATCGACCACCTATAAATAGAATAATAACTGATAAATTAATTAATTAAATTTACTTCCTCTTCATCTTGACTGTCGTTTGCGTCTCCCTCTTCAACGTCCTTGACCGAAGCCTGGTTGTTGCAATTTTCACCCAGCAAGTGTGAACCCAGAATCAACTGCTTCAGCTCTCCTCGGACCAGCGCTATCACAACAGTTGTTAGCAGTGTCCCAGGGACCAGATACAACAACGCAGGTTGGCCCGAGTTCATGTACACTAAGGAAACCATACAGACGAGCATGCCAACAAAGTAGCCAACAGATGAGCAGATTAAGTACAGCATTCTTGTCCCTTTACGGACATCAAAGACGGCGTTGTATGACAAGAGAATACCTGGGATAATTATATCACCAAAACCTAGCAGAGAGTAAGCACGTTCCCTGCATTTGATGAGAGCGTTGTCGCCTAGAAGTGGGACAAGAAACACCATTGGTAGTGACTCTTTAGAGTGGCTTGAGCCCCCAGTGGCAACAGACTCCATTATGCTTCCACCATCTTTGGTGAAGAGTGGGGTGATGAAAACAAAAAAGACATCATACACTAGCAGCAGTACCAGCAAGATGGCGATCACTTTCAAGTTGGGGAGGCGGAGGTTGTGGATAAAATATATACAGAAGGAAGACCCGAGCAAGTCCTGGATTGTCCAGGCAAATTTGGAATGGCGTTCAACGGCCCAGAAGATTCCGAGGGTCAGGCAAGGCATATACAGCAGAAAACTTCGAAGCTTGATCTGCAATATGATAAAAAAATACATTGAATCTTAAGCAAATAATATCACAATCATTATAGCAATACAAAAAATAAACAATAATAACTGTTTCTGGTATATCTTCTTACTAAAAATCTATAACTTACTCCTTTTAGAATTTATAAAACAAATTCCAGTGTGATACTGAGTAATTTATTACTTATACGTGCCATGTTTTCAAGTTAAAAACTAGTGTAAATGTTTTATTATTAAAATACAAATGCAATTTCATAAGCTGTGATTTAGTGCTAACTGCTTATTTAAGGCCATAATCACAAAAGACCTGTCAGGGACTCTGCACTGATAGAGAAAAGATCTCAACAGTTTGTATTGACATGAGTTATTACACCCTGGTTAACTCATAATGAATATGAATATAAAACAGTCTGTCATTGAAAATTGGTTCTTCATAATTAGAATATAAAGGAGATAAAATTAAAGGTAACTTTTATCCACTAACTAACTTACCTTTGATTTGATGCAAGGAAGCCTATTCACAGGTATATCATACGATATTGGCACAACTTTTGACCACAATGGCAACAGGCATTGATAAAGACTGTACGAGGAGGCCAGACAAAATATTCCAATGAAGAAGTAAACCATGACGTCAAAGAAGAAATAAAGTAGCAACAGGACGGCACAGATGACAATGAACCACACTGCGACAACCCAGACTGTGAACTCTATCCTGGGCTCACTGGATTCTTTTCCTTTCATGTCTTCATCTCTCCTGTCAAGCGATCTTGACATTAGTTTCGCTTCATTGTATGCAGCCCAGCCTGCGCCGAGCATTACAAACAGTGTTGAAAAAAATATGATAACCAGCATGTTTCCATCCCACTCTGGCTGTACCGGAGCAAACAGCTTCACCACCACAGGTCCTGAAAGCTGCAAAACTTGCTGGTAATCATTGAAAGAGATAATGACCAGAGTGATGTTAGTAGAATGATAGTCTGATGCATTCCCACCAGGTATTGGAATCTTACTAGAATTTTTATCATCGACTATTATAGCAGCTTTTCCTTTCGCCGCCTCAATCAAATTAGCTTTCTGGGTGAAAGTGCAATCGCCTCTGGACACAGCCACGGCAGAGTTTTCAAACTTTAAAGACGAATTAAAGTCAGAAGGTTTACACCCCTGAGATGTGGAAAAGTCGAGTAAATTATGTGGTACTGTTTTATCCAAAGAGCTGGGGAGGTGTTGGAATTCATTGTTGTAGTAAACGCAGAAGGTCATCTTCTTGCCATCACTGCCACTTGCTTCCAGAAGAGCATTGCCACCAGCACCACATAACTGTTGGGTTGAATATTGTTTGATAAAATTCAAAGCTTAACCATAGCTATAGAGTAGTACAATCTGTAATATATGGGCTAGTAATCTAATTTTAAACTTTAAATAGCTTAAATCACTTTGAGATTATCAGAAGATTAGTTTAGTCATTTGAGCAGAGATTAATTATAATTAGGGCCTACTAAAAAACTAATTAGGCCTATAAATTGAAAATTTAATAATAATGTGATAAAATGGTAGTGTATGCTCTGGTGTGATGAATAAACTTGGCCAAAAGGCCTGCTTATTTACTTAAACTAAACTTGTCTTATAGATCTCGGTCTGCCTTAAAAAGTTGTGAAAAAAGTAAATTAAAAGCTTACCTTGAATTGGCAAATAAGGAAGAATATTGAAAAAGTGTTCAGAATGGCTCCTAGTCCTTTAGATTTTACTTTGATTCCACCCATTTTCTTTTTACAACTAGATATCTAGATTCTAGATCTAGTTCAATTATCAATCAGTTGAGGCAGAAGTCTGTGGAATCCAGTTTTATTTAAGTTAGTCTAAACAAGTTAATAAAAAGTGTAGTGACAATATAAGCGCAATTTTCTCATGTTATCCATAACAATTTTTAATTTTTTGTAAATATCATCCAATAAATATAAACTCCTACACGATGCTCAGTTTAAATCATCCTAGGCCTACACGATGCTCAGTTTAAATGTTCTTAATTAATTTTTTGTGACCAAACGAAAGGATATTTTTGAAAACTTTCTTCGGCAAGATTGGTCTAAATTATAGCAGGAATCGATTGGTAAATGTTTCAAGTCGCTAAGTGGTCTGGTTGCCGAGATATGGAGCAAAAACTCCATTTGTTCAAGGTTTTTTGGTTTTTCCGGGAAATCCAGGAAGGAATTCCGGGAATTTTTTTGGCCCACAATCATCGTCGGAACTTGCTTAACGTATTTGCTTTTGGAACTAGTCCTCGATATTGCTTCGTTGAGGAGGAGATACGACTTAAAGCTGCGGACACACATCCATCCATCCATTCATTCATCCATCCATCCAGAAATGACGAGTTAATAATCGCAGTTGTCCGTATGGAAATTGCGCTAAAAATTACTCTAAGGCTCTCTCTACTCTCTACAATACTCTACAAAAAGAGTCTACAGTCTACATGTAACTAAACTAATCTAGTCTAGAATCTAGATAAGATATAGATTCTAGATCTAGACTTCTAGCTAGAATCTAGTCTCTAGATCTAGATATAGTCTAGTATAGAGTTGATAGAGTCTAGAAAAATTCTAGACTAGAGTTAGGCTAGATTCTAGATAGGCGCTATAGTAATTAGTAATTAGGAGGCCTGCCTAAAATAAAAATACTCATACTGCTAACTGGCCTATTGGCTATAGTATATTGCCGCTATATTATTATAATTGCCTATACTCCTATACTATACTATTATTATTTAGGGTAGTAAGATACTTTTACAGTTAAGTAGCCTAGTTATCAGCCTAGAGATCAAAATCTAAATCTACTATCGATTAAACCTTTTGACCTGCTTGTTTGGAGACATTAGTTTCAACTTCCATTTACTAGAAGGCAGTCTAATCCTGTTGACTAATCGAGATAATCTTGAATAGATTCTTCTAGTCTATTTTTTAGGTCTAAAGATTCGTAAAGAATGTTTATAAATATAGATCTAAATGAAGCAATCCTTTTAAAAAGTATCGATACCAAAAGGGTTACGCTAAATGCTAGCTAGAAACGAATGTTACTGAATGTACCGAATAAAACAAAAATAGGCCTAGCAATCTGTAAAATGTGAATATTTTGATAGATCCAAAATCAATTAACTTCCAAGCCCCGAACACTTTGTGTTAGAGTTAAACTTGGGAATGGGGCATTTAAAATAGCCGTTTAGTAAGATTCTTGTCATGATTAATTAACAATCAAATCATAGTCTTTATTATTATGATACAAAGTTACACAGCAGGATTTTGTTACTTTAGGATAGGGGATAAGATTTTAAATTTTGTATTACCAATCTCTCTCTCTAGGCCCTATTTATATAATATATATATATGCCTATATAAATATTTGCCTATATATATATATATATAAATATAATTTATAGGCCTATGTGTATGTGTATGTGTATGCGTACGCATACGCATACGTATACCTATACGTATAGGTATACGTATACGTATATGTATATGTATATAGGCCTATATATACTAATTTGATGTATGTCCTGAAGTGCCCCCCCCCCTTGTGAAAAAAGTCTGGAAGAAACATGGTACTGTATGTGTGAGTGTAGGCCTACATGTATGTGGGAGTGTACTTGTGAGTATACGTGTATGTGTACAATTGTGTGAGCATGTATGTGTACGATTGAGTGTACTCGTTCGTGTGCATGCAATCTTCAAAGTAGACCAGTGTACCCTTAGGCCCTGACCACTTTATTTGCAAATTCACGACCGTTATTGGACTGTAAAATCGATGGTGCACCAATTAAGGTAAAAATGTCTATCATCAATGGAGCACCAATCAAGGTAAATATGTCTATCATCAATGGTGCATCAAACAAGGTAAATATGTCTATCATCAATGGTGCATCAAACAAGGTAAATATGTCTATCATCAATGGTGCACCAATCAAGGTAAATATGTCTATCATCAATGGTGCATCAAACAAGGTAAATATGTCGATCAAGTTGTGAGCTACTTCTACTACTGTATTTGTTTTGAATGGCCTGAGAAGCAAAAACTTGGTGAGATGACTTTGGTACACCATTATAATTGAAAGTCGATTACATCTACTTGGCAGCGCAATTAAAAATAAGATAATACCAAAGGCTTCACTACTATTTCTTTCCTTACGCCTTTTTGTTTCTTCATGCACGGCTCACAAACCTTTAATTTTATATATAACTATATATATATATATATATATATATATATATATATATATATATATATATATATATATATATATATATCTAATATATAAAGCTCAGTTCTGTATGTAATGCATTTGTATATCGTTGGAATTGTACGAATTTAAAAGTTAGAAAATTATCGTGCGCATTTGTCTAAATTTATGAGCTAAAAAATTACTATTGAAAGTGTTGGGAAATAATTTTCATTTTTCAAATTAAAGTAATAATTGTCGGCATGTTTATTAAACACAAGTTTTAAAAAAAATATCATCTTTTACAAAAATTCTAATTATGTCTTTATTTAGTCCTATAGCAATTACTTCCCTTTGATAAATTAGGAAAAACACAATTACTTCCCTTTATAAAACCATAGCATTCCGTGAAAATAATTTACTTTTTAATTACTTTGTTTTGGTGTTGGGAAAAAAAATAATTACATAATTAGCGGGGATTGATCAAGTGCAAATGTTGTAGGTATTTTACGGATAAGCTTGGAGTATTAAAATTGTTTATTAAATTGAAACAGGCGCGTTCGTTTAAGTGAGTGCAAAAGACTGTGAATAAGTTGGGGTACTATAGTCGTTCATTAAGCTAAAACAGGTGATTCCGCCCCGGGCTTTTATGTTCGCGTTAGTGTTTTCTTTGTGTTTAGGTGGGTTTGCGTTAGTGGTTGCGTTTTAATTTGGTTCGTTTTTGTTCTTTCTTTTTTCGTTTTTGTTTGTGTTTTTTTTGTTTGGGTTTGTATTTGTGCTTTTGGTTGGTTTTGCGTTCGGATTTGGTTTGTTTTCGTTTGCTTTTTCGTTGTTTTTTTTTTTTTTTGTTGGTATTGGTGTTTGTGGTTGGGTTTGTTGTTAGGTTTTTGTTTTCGTTTGCTTTTTTGTTTGTTTTTTCTTTGTGTTTGTATTGGTGTTTGTGGTTGTGGTTGGGTTTGTTGTTAGGTTTTTGTTTTCGTTTGTATTTGTAATTGTGTTAGCGTTATGTTTGCGTTTTGTTGTTTTGGTTGGTTGTGGTTTGGGTGGGCAATGCCGGGTTTATGATGATTACTAAACACACAGGTAATGGTCTTTAACAGAAAGGTTTTTCACAGAAGCCAGAGCAGGGCCTGGCCGGGACGGCTAGTCTAATATATAAAGCTCAGTTCTGTAACGTGTGGCAAAAAAGTTTGTCGTTGACAGTTCTATGGATTTAAGTGTTAGATTTTTTATCGTGCTCATAGTCTAAATTTACGATTCAAAAAATTACCATTGAAAGTCTTTAAAAACAATTTTCACTCTATTTACTTAGAAGAATAATTTTCAATTATGAACGCGACATAAAATTTTTAAAAAGTGTATCGACGTTTATAAAATTTCTAAAATTGTATCGGAAATGTATTGACTGCACAGTTACTTCCCTTTAATAAAAAAAATTCTTAAGAAGAAAGAATTTACATTTTATTACTTTGTTTATGGTGTTAAGAAAAAAAAATAATTACATAATTAGCGGGGATTGATTAAGTGCAATGTCGTTAGGTATTTTTAACACTGCCTTTTATTTATTCTATACACTGAACATACTGTTCAATAATTATTATTTTTTAAATCAATAACATTTAATAAGCCAGGTCCTACAAATCCTATATGTTTATTTCTTTCCATTTACGGATAAGCTTGGAGTATTATCATTTTTGTTCACTAAATTGAAACAGGCGCGTCCGCCGGCGCCCTTGCACGGTTCGATTTGGCACCCTGGGCTATCATGTGAGCGCTATGCTGCATAATTTTGTTTTGAACAGTGCGATAGACAATGGATAAGAAAGGTTACTATAGTCTTTAAGTGAATCAAATCCGGGCGTCCTCCGGCACCCCGACAGGGTGCTATTTGGCGCCCCGGGCCTTCCGGTGTACGCTATGGTATCTACGTTCGCGTGAGTTCCAAAGACTATGAATAAGTTATGTACTATAGTCGTTTACTAAGTTCAATAAGGCGGTGACGTCATGGTGCGTCCTCTGGCGCCCAGACAGGGTGCTATTTGGGGTCCCGGGCCTCCCGTGTTCGGTTTCGCGCCTACGTTCATTAAAGTGAGTGCAAAAGACTATGAATAAGTTGGGGTATTATAGTCGTTTATTAAGCTGAAACAGGCGATTCCGCCCCGGGCTAGACTCTGAGCACTGTGCGTTTATGTTCGCGTTAGTGTTTTCTTTGTGTTTAGGTTGGGTTTGCATTAGTGGTTGCGTTTTGATTTGGTTCGTTTTTGTTCTTTCTTTTTTCGTTTTCGTTTGTGTTTTATTTTCTTTGCGTTTGTGTTTGTATTTGTGTTTGTGGTTGGTTTTGCGTTTGTATTTGGTTTGTTTTCGTTTGTTTTTTCGTTTGTGTTTTTTTCTTTGGGTTTGTGGTTGGTTTTGCATTTGGATTTGGTTTGTTTTCGTTGCTTTTTCGTTTGTTTTTTTCTTTGTGTTCGTATTGGTGTTTGTGGTTGTGGTTGGGTTAGTTGTTAGGTTTTTGTTTTCGTTTGTATTTGTAATTGTGTTAGTGTTATGTTTGCGTTTTGTTGTTTTGGTTTTGGTTTGGGTGTGCAATGCCGGGTTTATGATGATTACTAAACACACAGGTAATGGTCTTTAACAGAAAGGTTTTTCACAGAAGCCAGAGCAGGGCCTGGCCGGGACGGCTAGTATATATATATATATAAAGCTCAGTTCTGTATGTAATGCATATGTTTGTCGTTGGTCTTGGATGAATTTAAGTGTTAGAAAATTATCGTGCGCATTTGTCTAAATTTATGAGCTAAAAAATTACTATTGAAAGTATTGGGAAATAATTTTCATTTTTCAAATTATAATAATAATTGTCGGCATGTTCATTAAACACAAGTTTTAAAAAAATATCATCTTTTACAAAAATTCTAATTATGTCTTTATTTAGTCCTATAGCACTTACTTCCCTTTGATAAATTAGGAAAACAAAATTACTTCCCTTTATAAAACCATTGCATTTTGTGGTAAATAATTTACATTTTAATAACTTTGTTTTGGTGTTGGGAAAAAAAAAATAATTACATAATTAGCGGGGATTGATCAAGTGCAAATGTTGTAGGTATTTTACGGATAAGCTTGGAGTATTAAAATTGTTCATTAAATTGAAACAGGCGCGTTCGTTTAAGTGAGTGCAAAAGACTATGAATAAGTTGGGGTACTATAGTCGTTCATTAAGCTAAAACAGGTGATTCCGCCCCGGGCGTTTATGTTCGCGTTAGTGTTTTCTTTGTGTTTAGGTGGGTTTGCGTTAGTGGTTTCGTTTTGATTTGGTTCGTTTTTGTTCTTTCTTTTTTCGTTTTTGTTTGTTTTTTTTTGTTTGGGTTTGTATTTGTGTTTTTGGTTGGTTTTGCGTTTGGATTTGGTTTGTTTTCGTTTGCTTTTTCGGTTTTTTTTTGTTTTTTTTTGTTGGTATTGGTGTTTGTGGTTGGGTTTGTTGTTAGGTTTTTGTTTTCGTTTGCTTTTTTGTTTGTTTTTTCTTTGTGTTTGTATTGGTGTTTGTGGTTGTGGTTGGGTTTGTTGTTAGGTTTTTGTTTTCGTTTGTATTTGTAATTGTGTTAGCGTTATGTTTGCGTTTTGTTGTTTTGGTTGGTTGTGGTTTGGGTGGGCAATGCCGGGTTTATGATGATTACTAAACACACAGGTAATGGTCTTTAACAGAAAGGTTTTTCACAGAAGCCAGAGCAGGGCCTGGCCGGGACGGCTAGTATATATATATATATATATATATATATATATATATATATATATATATATATATATATATATATATATATATATATATATATATATATACGCCACTACGTAACTATGTCCTGTCGTTCCATCATCATAATAGCAACTTTATCTTTGACATCTATAGTATCATATAGGGAATCATGTGGAAGTGTATTCTTACATCCCTCGGGATACATCACGTTTAGTAAATAGTTACCCATCACTCAGTACCGTTTCTTCTATTGCCCTAGATGACTGAGTTGGATTGTGCATGTATTATATGACACAAAAACTTGCCATTTTCAGATCTATGCCAAATCCCTAGATCCACACAATTACATAACATTTTATAAAGGAGCTCTCTCTCAAAGCAAAAAAACTTTGGTATTACATACATATATAATTATAATAGCCAATATATATTTAATAATACAATTTCATAAAAAGATTCACTAAAAACACTAGAGTTTACTTTTCTTTTAATTCAATACTTAAAATTTTGGTAATTAGTGATAATTCTTGGGTTTGTCTTTAAGGTGCCAATTTAAAAAAAATAAAACCTCCTCCTCATTTTGTTGTTAAAGCTGAAATATATATATACAATTACACCATATAGATTAGATACTTTTTATCAAGTAACAACTATTGCAAAACCAAATCATTTGGTTTATTGTTTGGTTATTTAGACATCAACACAACAAAACAGATTTAAGGAAACTTTTTACAAAGCAAACTTAAATAATGTAACACATACTTCTTCAAAGATTGCCCTTATCACATCTTTGCTAGAACAACAAGTTGTTCATTAAGGGGGGAGCTATCCGGACTCACAAAACTCTAGTTTTAAATATACTTACAATAAGCACATATTTTTGTTGAAACATTTTAATAAATTTTTATTTTTTTCTAGTATAAAAACAGATTATGACAAGATACTACAAATCTAGTTCTAGTTGTATATATAAATGGTGACTGGAAAGACGCTCAATGGAAAACTGCACAAAAGAGTGCCGCAAGGGCTTTTTTGTTTCCTATAATCAAGTATTTATAGACATTAGCAATGAATTACCCATGTACAATGTAGCATAATAAAAAAACTTTTCCATGAATTATGACAAAATTAAAGTGTATTATATAAGTAGTTTGTGCAGGTTTCCATTGCAGTTTTCCATTTGCGCATTTTTCTTGGAAACACACAAATATATATATATATATATATATATATATATATATATATATATATATATATATATATATATATATATATATATATATATATATATATATATATATATATATATATATAATGCATTTAAATATGTTATCTAAAGGATGCTGTATTGTATCTTAATATATAATTCTGATATGCAATATTGATAGTATAAGGACTGCACATAATACATTTTTTTAGATACTTTAAATAAAACAGTGGTTTCAATTTTTATAGATATGTTCAATAAAACAGTAGTTTAACACTTTATAACAGGAATCTGCACTCCCTAACATTATTTAACAATACAAAAGTTTAGAAAGTTCCATAAAGCTTTTTGCAGGGTAAAAATAATTTAAATTTAATTCAAAAGTTTTTATTTTTTAAAGAATATTTTGTAATAAAAAATACAAGTCATACCGCTATCATACATTATCATCTACTACTAAACTTTTTACTTACATTTTAACAACATGAGTAATGAAATATACATTGTGCTGGAGACAAATTAAAAATAAAATAAAATATATAAGATTGTAAATTAAATGTGTATATACAGTAATTAAAATCTTATTGCCCTAAGGTAAAAAAATATATTGTTGACTGGATAAAAAAATAAAACTGTAAAGGGAACACAAATATATGTCAATGGTATACTAATAATATCTATAACTGTGGGTTTGTTTTTGTTTTGTTTTGAAGGTCAGGTTTTTAGGTTAAAAAACCTTATAAAAAACTGAAATAGCTATTTTATTTTAACTGAAATAAATGTAACATGTTTTTATATGAGAAAATCGTCCTATACATTACTATACAAAAATAAATATAAGTTCATTTACATTATATAAAATTAAAATATTGTAAAATAACTTTTCATTATATTCTTGTATAATTATAAAATGTGTAAATAAAGTCAAGAAACAAACCTTACATAAACAAATTTAACCCAAATCCTGAAAGACAGGAAAAAAGAAACATCTAACAAATATTTTTACTAAATTTATGTGAACACTACTTTATCATGTGGCTTACAGTAAATGGGTTATCACATTCAAATAAATATTGTGATAGAAAATTTCAACTCTTATATAAGAAGTACAAAGAAAACAAAAGTTAATTTTTCCCGACAATAGCCTGAAGTAGTTTCTTAAAGTTGAAGCTGGTATCTTCTTTAATCCATCGCCACAATGTCTTGTTGGTAAGTTTGAGAAAACATTCTTTTATCTGCACCATGTCAATCTGAAATTTTATGTCAACACATAACTCTTGTCAAATACATAACTCTTGTCAAAAGCATAACTATTGTCAAATACAAAACTATACTCATATACATAACTATTGTCAAACACATAACTACTGTCAAATACATGACTATTGTCAAATACATTAATATTGTCAAATACATTAATATTGTCAAATACATAACTTTACTCATACACATAACTATTGTCAAACCTATAACTAATGTCTAACAAATTTCTAATGTCAAACACATAACTAATATCCAAAACATAACTAATCTGAACCACATAGTTATTTTCAAATACCTATTTTTAAAAATATTTTATAAAGCAACACTGAAGACAGTTGTCAGATCGTGTTCCCATGGAAATGGCCTGATAATGTCTTAATAATTCTTGCTAGATTCAAACTGCCAACACCAGGGCAGATTTAACTACATACCTCAGACCTGGAAACTATTATACGAATCAAGGTTCTCTCATCAGTGCCTAGACCTTTCATGGCATCCCTTAGTTTTTCAGCAAAGAACATGGGCCGACTTCTGATATTCATAACTGAATATTCATCAGAAAAAATGTTTAAATTAAAAAAAAAAGAATAGCTAGGAGAATAACAACTGTATTTAGCTATGTGATGTATTTTTTGTGTGTATGTGAATGTGTATGTATGTATGGATATTAAAACCTTAATAATTACTTACCAATGGCTCTGAGGCCTTGCCTAAAATCTCCAGAGGTTTCTCTGTCAACACTATTTAAGATATCTCTCTGCGTTATCTGATGAATTTATTAAAATAATAAATTTACATGGTCCACAATTATAACATGGTAAATTTTAAAATTCAAGGCAATATATTTATATAAATAATATTTACTGACATCAAAAACACATTTCCATAAATTCTTCAAAAAATTATCATTACAAAAATTATAAATAAATCCAATATTACAATCAGAATTGTGTTTTTATTATTGTAACTCACTTTGACATACTCGTCCCATATGGCCCGTAGCTGGTAGTAGTCACGGGATGAAAAGATTCTGTTGAACGTCTCCTCATCAGTTCCCCATCTCGCCTCCCCAGCCTTGTAGAGTTGCTGTGCTTCAATTTTAGCTTTCTCTGGGTCACAAAGTTTGCTGTAGTTGACTTCAAACATTCCTGAGTTAAAGCAACAATTAGTATTAGGAGTTTAGTATAGGAGTGTAGTAGATTTAAAAACATTTTTTTTTAGCTATTACAAGTCAACATACTGAAATGTATTTCAGTTTGATTAGAACTTGTATCAATTAAGATAATATTTTCCTGTATTTGTCCAGAATACATGGCCAAATAATTAAGATACTAATGGTGATTATAATGACTGCACCAACAATTTTAGAATTTTTAGAAATTCACAAAAAAATATGTTCACACTATAACAATCTCCAACACAAAATTTAGAAGTTTTAAAATTTCCTTTAAAAGTTTTATAGAAATTTATCTCTCGAAGCATACAGACTTATTGCCCCTTTGCTAGAGTGAACAAAAGTTACCTGTTCCTGTTCCATCTTGTGGGTTGATGATCTCCTCCACCGCAGCCTCTAACTTCTCCGGTGGGATCTCATATCTCTTGCCCTGTCCAATTGTAAAGCATTTAGTATCAATGTGCTTAACTTCATATGGAGCTAACTCTATATAAACTTTATTAAGAGCTTCTACACTAGCTATATAGAAGCCCTGAAGGATTAATGTCCAATTATAAAGCACTTAGTATCAATGTGTTAAACTTCATATGGAGCTTACTCTAATAATAATCACTATATAAAGGCCTTATTATGTGCTTCTACACTAGCTATATAGAGGCCCTATAGCACTTAGTATCAAAGTGTTAAACTTCATTTGGAGCTTACTCTAATAATAAACACTATATAAAGAATTTATTATGAGCTTCTACACTAGCTATATAGAGGCCCTATAGCACTTAGTATCAAAGTGTTAAACTTCATTTGGAGCTTACTCTAATAATAAACACTTTATATAAAGACTTTGTTATGAGCCTCTACGCTAGCTATATAGAAGCACTGAAGGACTAATGTCAAAAGAAAAAAACAACCCTGAATAAATTAGCTATTTACCATTGAAGCTGAGATGAGAAGCCTTTTAAAGTCACCACTTGTGTCATCTCTTATGTCTTTCTCAAACTGAGAGTCCTTGGCAAGTTTGGTTTTATGGACAACTACATTTTGGGGGGAACGTAAGGGAGTTAATCATTGGTCTGTACAAATATTTACATTTAATAGATCTACCAGGGAATCATAACACCAAAAAAGGCATTCACACAATTAAATAATTTTTTACTAAGGAAACTTTAATTATTGTCTATTTCTGGTGGTGGGAGATGGGAGATTACTTTTTATTTTTAAGTTAACTACTGATTTTTCTGTCTGCAATATCATTTTATCCTCTATGAAGTTACCTCCCTTAGATTGCATGAATGTTAGATTTTTAAATAACTGGATAATCTACCTTTAGGGTAAACTGCCCTTATTTCTTTTATTTGATCATTGGTGCGTGTCAGCAATATTTCCACAAGTGCCTGCTCATCTGTACCTAGACCCTATTAAGATTGGGATAGATAAAACTTAATTTAAGAATATAAATTAAATATTTTGAGTTTTCTTTCAACAAATAAACAACCATTACAATGTTTAAATATCAATGATTTTATGTGTATAGGCTTACATATCAAGTAAAGATGTCATAAAAATTTAGGAAATGAAAAGAGAATTTAAATACTTTTTTAATTATTAAAAAAAAAGCCTGCATAATTTACGCTACAAAAAAGTAAATCCAACAGCAACATACAATATCGTATTTTTTCCAAGGTAAAAAAAGCACCAATAGAATACTATTAATGTACACACAAATGTTGTTAGAAATAAAATGAAGAGTAACTAACTTTGAAAACAACTATGCCTGCTTTGGCAACTTAAATTAATTAATAAATTTAATCAATTCATTGAGAGTCACTAGCAATTGTTTACGTACATAAATTGCTTCTTTTATACACCAGGCGTCAAATTCAGCAGGGCTGACAAACAGTGCCATGACCAGCTCCTTGTAGTCACCACTTAGCTCACCCTTCAAGTCAGTGATTAAATCCTTTAACAAAAAAACAGATTTTCATTCAGTTTCATCAATGTTATTAATAGAAAAAATAAATTTATTTAGTGAAGTTTGTGTTTTTTAAATAGACAATATAACTTGTCTACCTACATGCTTAACACTTTGAAATCAGTGTAATGATAATCATTATATTTTCAGATACTCCTTAAATGTAATTCCAACTAAATTGGTTTCAATATTTTAAATAGTAATAAAGAATGGTTAGTGAGGGGCCTACTAGGATACATTAATTTATATAAGTTTAAATGAAAATGAATGATATATTTATTATATATATTTATATATATCAGATAAACAATTCTGCAATTTATGTACTTAATACCTATCTAATGTAGGCTTACATAAACTTATTAAAAAAATCTTATACTGCCATAAAAAGGATTTATATACACATGAAAGATAAAAAAAAACAACAACAACAACAAATAACCTACTCTGCCGTATAGAGTTTTAAACATATCTTTGAGCTCCTGCCTTTGTTGGTTGCATCTGGTTGATACAACTAAAATAATGGCATCATCATTTGTACCTGCAGGATACAAAAAAAGTTGGTGTTAAACCATAGTCTTTCAAGTAGTAAAGATACAATGTAATGAGTATTGTGTGTGTGGGGGGGGGGGGGGGGTTTGGAAAAACCACTATGGACTCCCTTTTCATGTTAAGTTACATTAATTTAAAAAAAATGTAAGTAAAGTAAAGTTCCCTTTCAAATCTGATGGTCTATGGGGCAAATGAAGAGTTCACTAGTTTCTGTGATCTCACCATATGAAGGGATTGTGTGGTCAGCACTATGCCTAGTCGCCTTTACTTAACCAAACGTGAGTTAGGTACCCATCAGAGCTGGCTGGACTTAGGGACGGTCTACTGACTTGGATCCGGATTTGAACTCGAGACTAACGGGTTAGAAGTCCAGCTCTCTGTCCCATAAAAATGTAAAATACCCTTTTAACCCTACGGGCCACAAGGCAGGTGAAGTAGAGTTCCCATGTTTCAGTGACCTTGGCATATGAGGGGATAGTGTGGTCAACACTATGCCCAGACACCTTTACGTTCCCTAACATGAATCAGGTACCCATCATACCTCTGGGACATTCTACAATCAAGAACCCGGTATTTGAACTCAAGCAATTTGCATAACAAAATCCTGCCTAAGCCACTGACTATTTTACAATCAAAAGAAAACATTACTTCAGATATCAACAAAAAAACACAAACCTAATCCCTTCATGGCCGCCCTTAGGTACTCGCAATCACACTCTGGGTCCCAGGCTTTGCCAACCATGCTCATGCTTCTGTTCTTGAGGTACCACTCAGCTACAGGGTCTCCGGTCTCGTACTTCTTGAATGGTTTCACAGTCCCTTCCGTCATGTCAAAGGTGCCGGAAACCTTCTGTCGTCTCAGTAACTCAGCGACAAACACTCTCTTCATCTCCTCCTTAAGTGTCTGTTTGATGGCCTCTTCTGACAGTGTCTGTTAAAACAATAAATGAGGTCTATGTAGAGAGATTTAGGTACATTACTCTAATCCTACAAGGGAAAGTAAGGCGTTTGGGCTTGGGCTGACTTAACCCTCCCTTCTTATGCTGTGGTCAAGAAAAAAGATGAACTCTCTGTTCAGTGGGCAATCGGGTTCCTGAGGGTTAATTTACTTTACTCTAATACGGACAAAATGTTTAAACATTTAAAAAGAATGTTGTTAAAACCTTAGAAATAACTGAAGCTTTTCGAATTAATTAAGCCAAAATAAGAAAAACAAAAAAATTAAGCTATGAAAATAAAGTATTTTTAAATAAAAAAAAATCACTGTGACCTGCAGTAAGAGTATTCCTTCTTGTAGGGAGATAACTGTATAAATTATGTTAGGGAACAGCAGTGTATTACTTACTGGAACCTGTTTTACTGGCTCAGCAGGCTGAACTGGCTGGGGCTCTAGGATCTCTTCTGCTTTTTTTTCTTTCACATTCTGGAAATATAATTTACAAAAGGTGGCTGGGCATAGTGCTGATCATGTATTTTGTACGCAGAAATTACAGAAACAGATTCTCCATTTTGCGGTCTCAATGGACCATCATATTTTTTAAAATTTGAAAATCACCCAGCATGACAAAATACTGCCCACATCACTGATCTTCTTAACCCTTAAAGCGTGCGACACATCGCTTTACTCGTTGTGCATGAAGTATATAAGCATACATCACATAGATGACACGTGAAGTAAAGTAAGTATTCTTATTTGATTTAAGACATTGAAATAAATACAAAAAATTTACCTGTCCATTCCTTATCATTTCTTCAAGTCTCTGTAAAAAAAAAAAAAAATTTATAGAAAAAGAAATGCAAAAAGAAGATATAAATTCAATCTTTCCCACAAGATACATATCCTAATCTTCACAGATAACGAGCTAATTAAAGTTCTTACCTCCATTAGCTCCACCTGTTTCTGCCTCTGGTAAAACTGCAGGTGAGAGTCCATTGTCTTCAGGTAGGTTGATGTAGGCATATCCATCACTTGGGGTGGCTGATCGGTAAAAAATAATATACGATTATCGATCACTCAATTGATATATACATTTTTATAAGACATGTGGCTTAATGTGTTGTTGTTTTTTGCCTCATTTAAACCACCTTGTTGTTTACACAAAGCAGTAAAAGGATAAAGAAATTTATAAAAGAGAGAGAAGAAGGGAAAAATCTGTTTAAAAAATATTAACAAACATATATTTAAAAAAATGAATCCAATGATATCAGAGATATTTAACAAACCTGCTCTGTCATTTGCAGAGACTGTAAATGCATCTGCTGTACATTGGGGACATTTGCAAAGCCAGGAATCATGCCAGGGGGTTGGTAATAGGTATAATTGTTTGATGGCACTGAGAAAGTTTTGTAACAGAGAAAAATTACATACATTGAATATTATATTAAATTCAATTGAACCATAATTAATTATTTTTATTTTCAATATAGATTGGAATTAGCATTCAATTTTTTAAAAACATATTGGATAACTTTTTTTATAAATATGCTTGATTCATAGTATTTATATAACTTAACAAGTTAAGAAACTGGAAACAAATTAATGTATGTAAAATTTTTTTTTTAACATACCTTGATATTGATTGACATTATATGCACTGTATGCATTCATAGCCATAGGGGGTGGTGGAGGGCCGGAGTTGGGGTACTGTGGAGGATACACTGAATCCCCAGGGTTGTATGGCGGATAGTTAGACTGAAAGCAATATAAGTAAACCATTTTACAAAAAAATTAATTTCATTTTGTTTTAAATTGTACAAATAATTTCTTAGGTACAGATTTATGAGGTTCTGATTTTCATTATCTATAATAACTCAATACAAATATATATATATAATGTACATCACATACCTGATAATACATTTTAAGGTCCTTTCTGTATAAATATAAAAAGAAAGAATATGTTATTGAATAATCAAGTAAGGAAGGAGGGGGGGGGGGGTGACTTTTATGGTAATATGCTATGGGTTTAATAAAAGGCCCCACATAATTCAATTTTAATATTTAAGAAATAAATTTATTGAAAATATCAATTATCATTTTATTGTGTCAATTCAAGGAGAGGGGGGTACTTCTTAATGGCATTTTAGTTATAGTCGAAAGGGACCTATTGACTGTCTTTTTGCCTAGCTATAGTATGGATTGCAATCATATAAGGAAGGGGATACAAATAAACTAATTGATGTGAAAACATTCAGTTTAAAGACGTTTGCATTATTATCCATTGTTCCTCTTTTATTCTAGTAGTACATTAGTTGAGTAGTAGCTTATCAACTAGTAACTAGTTAGGTAGTGTTAATTCAAATTCTGATATGGATAAACTTTTTCAAAATTAATATAGTAATGTAGTAATTTTTAATAACTAGAACTATATCTCATTTTAAAACAAATATATATATATATATATATATATATATATATATATATATATATATATATATATATATATATATATATATATATATATATATATATATATATATATATATATAAGTAAAAGTAGGTAACAGCATTCTAAATAAAAGTTAAAGTTAACACAAGGCCTTTTATAGTGATTAGTAGATAGTGAGTTATTTGAATTTGACTTCACTTTACTTACCAGTGTCCAGTCAGTAGTGAGTAGTGTCCAGATTTGGCAGTAGCAAGGTAACAAAGTAATACAAAAACCCTATGCAACCTATAGTATTAGTAAGGAGATATTGATCTAGGTTTAGATAATAGAATAGATTAAGATGAGTACTAGTAGGCCTACGCCCTACGCCTAGTGACCCTAGTCCTAGTCGATATCTGAAATATTAATAATACTGAAATGTTTATTAAGAGATATTTTTAGTATCCACTTATTTTCAACACGTTGATTAGATTTATATACATAGTATAGGCCTATATTTAGATTAATAGGCCCTACAAAAATATTAAATTACCCAATAATAGAATCTAGAAAATAAAAAAGTGTTTGACGTCAAGCACGTATGGAAAATCTACCATGGTGATTGTAAACAAACTAAAAGAAAATAGAAAAAGTACGTCAGAGTAACCACCAACGAAAGCCCCTTTTATATTTTTTTTACACTGTATAGCTGGTCTATGGAAATCGATTTGGCAATATTTCTAAAAATAACTTTTAAAGCCCGATTGTGTGTAACTTTATGCGTGTGTGTGTGTGTGGGGGGGGGGGGAGGGTGGTAGAGTTAATGCTTTTAAAAAACAATCGTGACCCAAATAGGATCTACATAACAGAAATTATTTTTAGTAACATGAATAGAATGAAATTCAAACTGATTAATACGAATCTGTTAAAATAACAATTTTCAAAAAAAAAAATCTGTTTAGCTATACCTGTTTAGGTCTATAGTCTTGCTGCAGTTAAAGCCTAATTATAGAAATTGTAATATTTTATAATGGATTGTAAAAAAAATGTATCCCCTCCCATATATTCTAATCCATGACCATGTACAAGAACACGAATGTACTCTTCAATTTAATTGACTTTATCCTTCAAGTCTCTTCTTGATTCATTTAACTATTGATTGTAATAGCGTGTCATAAAAAACATAATGGCAATGTTCAAGTTTTATTTTCAGTGCTTGAGACAGCACTTGTTATATTGCTGTCTGCATAAAATCTATCACAGTTTAATTACTTTGTTTGGTAGTTTGACTAGTACGGCTTGAGTGTATTGTTTAATGTTTATCACCTCCCACACCTTCCCTGTATTACTTTATCCCCATACACTTTAACTACACATCAGTTTAAAGAAACATTTTTTTCTTTGTACATTTTATGAGGCCCACATAACCATAAGGATAAAATGTTTATTGCAGCTTATTTTCATAGTAGATCAAACATCTTATATATATATATATATATATATATATATATATAATTCTCTACATCAACCTAACATGAGGGACACCACCACTTATACGCACACCGACCCACACCCCCCCTCCCTTCCAAGCATGCTCAACAGATCATATCGCTACTATCCCCACCCGTCTGTTGTGCTGAGGTTCCTGCTGAATGTTTACAATTGTAGAGCCGGGTCGAATTAATGACGGCTATTAAGGGCAGATAATACAGTTTTTAAATGATCTGAAACTAAAGGGAGGTAATTGTATACCAAGTACTGAATGACCTTGTGATTATTTATTTTACCTGATTAAATATTTACAACCCATATTGTGACTTAACTGTACTCTTGGTACAGATAAAAAGATTTTCCTGTTTAAAAAAATGTGAAGTACTCTTTTCAAAATAAAACAGTCCACAGGACAGGTGAGTAGAGTTCATCTGTTACCTAGGCGTACGAAGGGATCGCGTGAAGGTATAGCGTGGTCAACATTATGCCTATCCACCTTTACCCCAAGAAGAGTGTAGTACAGTGCCAATTAGACTATTTGCAGTGTTTTGAGCAGTATTTTTTAAATGGGTGGGGTGTATTACAAAACACCTTCTTCCAATTAAATTTTCAGATGTGTTTATAATGTGTATATAATTATGTGTGTATAATATAAATACATACATACATACATATATATATATATATATATATATATATATATATATATATATATATATATATATATATATATATATATATATATATTATATGAAATTTAAAGAAAGGTTATAATTAAAATCAATTAACGAATTAAACAACAAAATATGATATTAAATCAACAGTTTAATAAATAAACATTCAACTAGTAAAATCTTAAATAGTATATGACATTATTTCAAAACATTAACTTCAAAATCAACAAGCATTGAACATGAGGCATTATATTTATACAAGCCATTACAGATAAAAACAAAATGGTAAAATGTACGAATATCCTATGAAAAAATGCCAGAAACAAAAAATAAATCATAAAAGACTTTGTACAGACTTGAGCTCAGCAGATGAAAGGGGAGAGAGATTAAATCCTTTTAGATGGTCCTTATGTTCTAGATCATGCAGCTCATTCACTTTAACTTTTAAACTTGTACGAACTCTGCTCATTTCACCATCAAGAATATCGTAATCTAGAACATTAAAAAATTACTTCCAATTACCAAGTACAATACAGTTGAATACTGTGCTGCTAAATGAAACATAAAATAAAAATATACATTATAAAGAGTTGACTAAAAAACAGTAATATGCATGTGGGGGTGGAAAGAAGAGCTATAAATAATTTTCTTAATATTTTCCTGTGATACATGTATAAAAAATGTTTCTAAGATATATAATTTCCTAATTCTATAGGAAACATATTTCTAAAATTTTATTTTAATTTCAGAGATAAAGCTGTTTGGTTTAAATGGTTGATTAATTTGACTTAAAATAAAAGCTGTTACCTTTAGACAACATCTGTACTGCTTTTTTCTGATCAACTTTTAAAAACATTTTCCCCGCACAAATCCATGCCTTTTTATCCGCTCCTTTATCCTGCTGTAGTGCTCTGAAACAGAGGAAAGTATGATAAAATTGTCTAAATAATATTAAATTGTATTGCTAGAAAAAAAATTGGTTGTTGAAAAGTTGATATATTAAACTCAATAATTTGTTGCAAGATTTATTTTATTTATGCATTTTATGAAGAAAACAATACTAATGGTGGTGAAATTATAACTCTAAATACAAACAGACAATTTAACCTCATAGCCTCTCTTGTTTTGTTTCGTTGTCTGTCCAAGTCTATTAACTCTCTGCGACCAGCAAGAATGTCTTCAGCAACCACTTCAATCCGAGACAAGTCCTCCAGCATTTGATTCATATCCTTATCCATGGCTTGCTTATATCAAATAGCTAATGCATGTGTATTTGAAGACCTGTTAATTGATAATAAACAGTTATGCTACTTCACCAACTAAATCCTTAATTATGATTTTATTTTGAAACGAGTTATTAGAGCATTAGACTATAAGTTATGAAATATAAGGGGGTATAATTTTCCAACCTGTGTCCAAAAATACTTTCAACAATAGGAGTGTTTGGCTGTTAGTTAATATAGAAAATAATGAAAATAGAGAAAAGAAGACCCAGTAAGTAATCGATAATTTATTCTTATGTTGGATAAATGTTTTTTACTGGTATTGGGTCAGTAGTAGTTAGAAATCAAGTAGTTTACAGAATGTAGTAAATTAAACTAGTAAATCTAGCAGGGTAAATATCTAAATCTAGTAATTGTAGTAAAGTAAAGTTCCCTTTTCAAACTTGACGGTCTATAGGGCAAGTGAAGTAGAGTTCACTTGTTTCTGTGACCTTGGCATATGAAGAGATAGTGTGGTCAGCACTATGCCCAGCCGCCTTTACTTTCCCTAACGTGCGTTAGGTACCCATCAGAGTTGGGTGGACTCAGGGACAGTCTTCTGATTTGAACCCGGATTCGAACTCGAGACTTACGGGTTAGCAGTCAAGTTCTCTACCGCTAGACCACTCCATCCCACAGTAATTGTAGTAGCATAGTAATAATTATTTGTTATTAGTTGACTAGTTATTAGTTAAACAATGTTTCTTTCAAACATTTCTCGGGTGGGGAAGGGGGGGGGGAGGAACGTGAAACTTTTTGGGGGGGGGGGGGGGATGGTTGTATATTGAATAAAAAATAATGTTGTTCAAGGGGGAGGGGAGGGGTAAGTCGTGCTTGACCCCTACCCCTTTACTTCTCGAAGAGATGCCTCATCATAATCATTCACATACATTGATTGAGAGAATAAAGAAACTAATTTTTATGCACTTGAAATACAACTGCTCTAGAGTCAATATTGAATCTACTATAATCTATATTCTATCTATATCTATCTAATCTATGGCATGGGCTCAGTGGCGTAGCTAGGATTTTTGGGCCCCTATGCAAAAAGTGTTAGTGGGCCCCTCAGAGGCGTAGCACCCCCCCCTCTCAAACTTTCGAAAAAGGGCCCCTATTTCAGGCTATTTGCCTTGGGCCATTGGGCCCCTATCATCTATGCCTTGCTGCTTGCTTACCCTAGCTTTACGCGCGACTTTACGGTAGCTACGCCACTGCATACCATTGGCCGGATGAACACATTGTCAGACACTGGTATAAGCAATCATCCCTATCCCTAAAAATAATATGAATTACATCTACTACTCTTAGCCTTTAGATCATCTGGTCAACAAAGGTGCTCAAATCATTCAACCCGCTTCTTCTTCCATTCATCACTTTTTCTTCCATCAGTGACCTTTACCCGGAAGTAGATCTAAAAGTATCCAAACAAACACAAAAGATAAAACACGCCGATAATCTTCTTTCAGCATGGCAGCGGCATTTCGAATAGTGAAAAAAGAAGGTAAAGAGTTTAAAGAGTACTTGAGGAGCTTAAAATAAATAGATCTCTATATTCTACTTTAAAAAGCTTAGAAGTTCTAGATCTAGACTCAATCCAGCTATGCAGTCATATTCTAGGGTAATCTATCGTTTTGGGTACGTAAAATCGCCCGCGATTTGTAATGTGAAAAACAGGTGACTCCTTAAATTTTAATAATTATTTCACATTTTGAGGAGGATTTATGTTTTAAAAATTCAAAAATGTTTCCTTGATTCATTTGTGTACCTGTTTTTAAACAATTGAATTAAAACTTTTCCGTAATAAATGAAGACTAGCGATGTTTCCAACAGATGCAACCATGCTCATTTACTATAGCAGCCATCTTGTCTAAGTTTTATTTTTATAAGCTTTAGCGCCAGATTCAGGAGGAAGCCACTCTATTTTACAAATGGCTGCTGTAATATATAGCAAATCTTGCTCTCAGACACTGTTTAAAGTTAATTTCTGGCCTATATCGATATATTTAGCTATTGATTTAGGTTTATTATTCATTTATCTATAATATTTGACACAAAAGTATAACAATATAGGCCCTACTTCTATTACTTCTATTAAAGCCTTGACAATGAGGTAACGTTTTCGTACATAAATAGCCGCGGGCGATTTTACGTACCCAAAACGATAGATTACCTATTCTTTCTAGACTAGATCTACTCTACAGATTTAGATTTTTAAATTTTATCCTAGTCTAGAAAGTATTAGTCTAGCTAGAACTAGATCTAGATTCTAGTCTAGAGTCTCTTGGTCTAGAATCTAGAGTCTAGTCAAGTCTAGTGTAAACAAGTGTATCTAGATCTAGAATCTATCCACTATCTAGATTCTAGATCTAGATTTATAAAACTTACTAATACTTAGTACTTAGATTTAGAATTCAGTTTTCAATTTATTAGCCTATTAGTATTAATAATAAGGCCGATGCTAGCCGGAATAAGATACGCATGTGATAGATGCTAGCCGGAAACTACGACTTGCCTTCGCGGCGATGTTTTCGATGGTACTGCGCATGCGTGTGTTTACAACCGCTGAACCCTAACACCAACCCTAATCCTATCCCTATCCCTATCCCTATCCCTATCCCTAATCCTATCCCTAACCCTAGCCCTTATCCTATCCCTAACCCTAGCCCTAACCCTATCCCTACCCCTCATTCTAACCCTAACCCTAGCCATAGGTCACTGCGCATGCAGCAGAGCTATCTTTTGCCGACTAAGTGGAGACGTTGGGGAGAAAAATCTTCTTCCGAGTAGTCACTTCGTAATATAATATAGATCTACTTTATGTTGAATGAGCTCAGTCAATTTTTAAAAAAGGAAATTAATGTTTAAAAACAATAAAACTGCTATTTTGAGGAGGGATAGAGTATGGCTTTTTTGTGCTTATGTGTGGCAGTGAGAAGTGAGGTAAAAAGTGTCAAAAAGTGTGACAGCATTTTAAGGACTTCTTCAACCCCCCCTCCCACCTTGAGAGAAAGACTTTCATACTTCATAGACCAAAGCCAAAAAATGTATATTAAATCAAGAGAGTACTAGATCTAGGTCTAGATCTAAATTTAGTAATGAAAGTATAAATGAATTCTTATTATCAAAGTTATTAATTGCAAGTCGTAGTTTCCGGCTAGCATCTATCACATGCGTATCTTATTCCGGCTAGCATCGGCCATTATATTAATCTATTTTAGTATTTATATTGGCCAGGCCCTACTATTTACAAAATCATCTTTTTAAAATGTGAAATAGTGGCTGAAATTCAGATTCTAACGTTACTTTTCAAAAATGCAAAAGTGTGGCATCACACTATCAGACCAAACCTCATCACATATCACAAAATTACAAACCCCCAACCCCTTATAAAGTGCGATATCATATGAGTATGTAGAAGAAGCATGCAGCAAGGTTATGTAACACTCTCATAGAAAATTAAATTTTAACTTTTATATATTTATATTCTAAAAACTCAGATTGTTTGTATGAATATGTTGAAATGTTCCAACTTAATATTTTAAAATCGTGTTGAAAATTTAGTAAATTACTAAAATTAATTTATTTCAACTTAAATGGGGTGCTAATTTTAAGGAAAATGAAAACAAACAAGCTCTGTAAGACTTCACCAATAGTCATAATTAGCAGCCCATTTAAGTTACAATAAAATCTGTTATACCAGGCTTGTTTCAGTTAAAGATTTTTTTTTTACCATTTTGGAATTTATTAATAAAACAAATGATTTACCAAAGCAATTTGTTTTTTTTATATTAGATTTGGAGGCAGAAGAACAGAAGGAGCCTAACCACACACTGCGATGTTTAACTTCAGAATTTGGTTGCCTGACACGTCAGGATGGCTCAGTGAGTTTATCCCAAGGCGACACAACCGCCATAGCTGTGACCTACGGACCGGCTGAGGTCAGAATGGTCAGGGAGCTCATAGACCGGGCAACAGTGGAGCTGATTTACAAACCCAAGGTGGGGATGACAAGTCCAGCTGACAGAAAGTACGAAACTGTTTTAAAAAATGCACTGGACGCCGCTATAATGACAAGCCTACACCCTCGATCGTCTATCACGGTGATTATACAGGAGACAGAAAATACAGGCTCGTACTTAGCTTGTTGTATTAACGCAGCATGTATGGCGCTGCTCGATGCGGCAGTCAGTTTAAAATTCCTGCTGGCCGGCGTCGCCGTGGCGGTGTCGCAGTCCGGGCAGCTTCAGCTGGACCCCACGCTCCAGCAAGAACAGGAGGCCAGGGCTAACTTGACTTTTGTCTTTGAGAGTGTGGATCTAAAAATAGTAACAGTCGTGACGACAGGGAAGTTCACCCATGAGGAGTACAAGCAAGGGCTGGAGTTATCTCGTCTGGCTGCCGTCAATGTGTTCACATTCTTCAGGGAATCTGTCTCGAGGAAGCTGCTTCATCTCTGCAAGTGACGGTTTTAATCTAGAGTGTAGAACTTTGTTTTATAAAATAAACTAGACTTGTTAGCCAGAAAAACAACAAAATTGTTGGCCAAAATAAAATATGTTTATACTCACTAATTAATGTTTGACCCGGCACATATTCCTCAAGCATGTTATCAATTAATAACAGCTTGTTTATTGTTGTAAAAAATGAAATAAAAAATCCAGATGTAAAAGTTTTTAATAGTTCAAATTGTTATTCATATGAAGTGCATGTATTTATATGATCTATATAGGGACAAGCTGGTCATTGATATAAAATAATACTTGTTAGGTAGCAACTCTAAGACTGATTAAAAAAACCCCATTGGACTTAGATGGTGTAGATTGTTTAGTTAAAGTTTTGATTATAAGAAATTGTAGGTGTATACGTAATTGATCATCAAACCCAGATTCTCAGTCAGTGGTTGGGTGGGTGGGGGCTGCTAGAGTAAAATGAGAAAATAAAGGAGATATGAGCATATGAAGAGCACTAGTAATATTTTTACTGTTCACTAACTGAGTAATCCCTCCAACAAACTCCTGCATCTCGTCCCAATTGTGCGCCAGTCTTTACTAGTCCAAATAGTAATAGTGACCCATTCTATACTCCTTTCAGTGATGACCCAGTCACCACTACTACTGGCCCCTAAGGCTACACAGTCTCTACTGGTTTCAATGATGACCTAGTCACCACTACTACTGGTCTCCTATGGTGAGCCAGTCTATACTGCTTTCAATGACCCAGTCACCACTACTACTGGTCTCAGTGGTGACCTGTTCTGCACTACTGGTCTAAATAGTGACCCAGTCTAAATATTCTTGCAAAAGATGACCCATTCTCTACTGCTTTCTGTGGTGACCCATTGTATACTGCTGGTCCCATTGGTGACCCAGTCACTTCTGCCTTAAGTGGTGAAGCATTCTATACCATTGGTCTCAAAGGTGACCCTGTCCACAACTGGTTTCAAAAGGTGACACATTCTCATGGCCAACCTTGTAGTTTCATAACACCATTGAAGAGTTATGTCCCTTCATTTTTATTGTTGGTATTTTTAATAAACATCACAATCAAGGGAAACAACACTAAAATTATTAAAAATGATTTTATTGCAACCAAGCTCATATGTCCACTATCTACACTGGGCAGAAAAATCTCCGCTCAACTAAAGCAAATGTGTCGGATTCGAAAATTCAAAATACATAATACAATTTTGTTATCACTTGAAAAACAGTGGCACGTGATCCGTGCAGCTATTTATAGAACATTCTGTGTTTACAGACAATACACATAAAACAGCCAATCTCAGCAGTAGTAAGAACAAGCGTAGGTCTATGATTACATGATGCTTACATTATGGGTCTATGGTTGTATGATACTTACTATGTAAGCCAATGATTACATGAGGCTTACAGTGTAGGTGAATGATTACATGATGCTTACAGTTTGGGTAAACGATTACATAATGCTTACAGCCTATGTCAATGATTATATGATGATTCAATCAAAAATAAATGCTTACATGCTGGTTAGTTCTGGGCCAGTTAAGACAACGTGCTTACATCTTGGGAAATGCTTACACAGACAGTGCTTACAGCCTATGTTAGTGCTTGTAGTCTGGTTTAATGGTTCAATGGTGCACACATTTTGTACATTTTATTTTTATCGTCACACACAAGTATACTTTGCAGAGTTTTTCAGGCGGTTTTCTTCGTGTGTGTTTGTGGGGGGGGGGGGGGGGGTGGTGGTAAAAATAGGCCTATATATTTTCTATATAAATTCCATTTCGTGGGTGGACATGTTTCGAAGAGATACCTGAAATAAGCTCTTGATGTTATGTAATCAGAACCCTACACATTTCTTTGCATGATCACATAAACATGTTTTTAAGTACATATCTTATGGGCATATGTTTCTCTGAAACCACGCACTCATAGAAATAATCATACACATCGTTTTATAAAAACACATTCATACATAATCATACGAATATACCTCGTGCAGCTACATAACTAAATAAATAATCATACATTCCCCTTGTTAAATAATCATACATTCCACTAGCTAAATAATCATACATTCCCCTAGCTAAATAATAATACATTCCCCTAGCTAAATAATCATACATTTCCCTCGCTAAATAATCATACATTCCACTAGCTAAATAATCATACATTTCCCTCGCTAAATAATCATACATTCCCCTAGCTAAATAATCATACATTTCCCTCGCTAAATAATCATACATTCCACTTGCTAAATAATCATACATTTCCATAGCGCCTCAGTGAAGTTTTGTATAAACGTTCATCTAACGAGAGTGTTTTGAAAAAAATTCCTCGTGAACACTTCTTACACGTAAATTTTATGAACAAGCAGACGTTTGGTTGTGACTACAAACACATTTCCTTTGGCATAATCATACATCTATTGAGTTCAATCACACACATCATTAAAGTACACACATTCTTTATGTACACTCAAACGATTTTTTGTGCATAATTACAATCAATACTTCTATCGCATACACATTCGTTGTGTACGCTCAAAAAACATTGTTCGTGTACAGTAACACATCTATTTAGAACAATCACACACATTTATTGTGTACACTGTACACACTTTTCTTGTGTACACACAAAACAATTTTTTTTGCGTACAACGACACACATGTGTTGTGCACACTCTTGTACATTTACACTCCTTTATGTACACTCACATCCTTTGTGTACATATCCATGTACATATCCATGTATGTACAAATGCAAACATCATGTATGCACACTGATTGTCTTTTGCTGAAGTCAACGATTTAAAAAAACAACAACCCAAAAGTTTATAATCTACAGTCTACAACGCTTTACTTTCTGTTAAATAATGACCCTTGGTAATCTCATAATGTAGCGTTGGAATATTATTCTGGAATAGTTTAGCAGTAAAAATTGTTAAAATAAACAAAAAACAAAAACAGTAGAAACATTGGCGGAAGCCGGAAGTACTGTAAACCATATTTTATCTGGCGCCATCTATTTAAAAAGTGTTCACAAATTTGGATATATTACTTTTAGTTGCATGTTAAATACTGTTTTGCTAAACGTTTTGAAAGGCCAACTTTCTGTAGTGTTTAATTGATAATTATTGCTGCTACTAAATACTGTTCTAGTCATCATTCACTATTTTAATAATGATCTTTTTACGAATAGTTGCAAATCTTCAAGTTTTTACATGTGTTTCTTTTAAAACAAACCCAGTAGCGTAGCGAGGGGGGGGGGGGGGGGGGGGCGGGGTGGGACATATGTCCCCGGGCGCCGACCTTAGGGGGCGCCAAAATGGGTTGGAAAAATAAATTGAAAGGTTGAGGGGGGTGCAAATCGAAAGTTTGAGGGGGGGGGGGGGCGCAAATCAAAATCTTGAGGGGGGTGCAAATCGAAATCTTGAGGGGGGGGGGGGGGGGGCAAATCGAAAAGCTTGTCGCCGGGCGCCGGGAGGGTCGCTACGCCTCTGAACAAACCCCCGCATTACTTACACACTTGACTTCATTATTTAAAGCTACTAAATATTGCTAATCTTCTGCACGCCGTTTTTATGCCTGTTTACTTATTATGCTGATTAAACTTGAAATGAAGTTAAAACATTAATTTTGTACACTAGGCTTTACATTTCAACGGTCAAATAAACTATGGTTTACAATACTTAATGTTGACGAAACTTAACAAAAATTACCCAATAATTTCCGACGCTATACTGGGAGATAACCCACTCGACATTGTATTTCAGTTGTCAAATGTATGGTGACTCGTATTTCAGTAGTCAAATGTATGGTTTACCGTACGTAATAAAGTTAAATGTTTAGGAAACTCAACAAATATTACCGGATAATTTCCGGCACTATATTGCGAGATTACATAACCCTCTTTAAAACTTTTTGGCACAGTGATAATTTCACGCTACACTTTAAAACTTTTTGGCACAGGGAGTGACGTCATCCATCTGTCAGCAGTCACGCATGGGACGACATGTGGCGCGTGAGATGATGTCGCTCGCGGAACGCCTCGTGACAAATGTTACACTTGAGTTTCTCCTCGCGCTTCCGTTTCATGGGGTCGAACTCTCGCTTGTGGTGAGATCTGAAAAATAGTTGCCTCGTTAGAAGTGGCAGCAGGAGGCGCTTAATTCAATCACGCGCGGTGTCCGCGCGGTAAAATCGATAGTTTGCTTCTGATTAAAAGTGCTACAGGAACTCGATTGGTTTTATTATTATATTATAATCATAATTTGGGCATTGTTTATCTAATTATTTTATTATTTTCATTATATATAATTTTTTTTACTTAAATGATTGTTTCTGGCACATGACTTTTCCTATTCGACCAATCAGAAGTGTGTAAATAGATTTAAAATTAGACCTATTATAATTTAGCTTTGCAAAACTTTTGTATTTTGTTTTCGTAAAAATGCAAACCACCCAACCAAACTGTAGGGCTAACATAATTTTTACAAAACCCTCACAATCTCATAATACTCCTGAAGTAGAGTTCATCTTGTTTTGCTTTGGTATGCCAATTTCAAAACTTTCTTTACTTTCCCAAACCCAACTGGGTACTCAATAGAGCTGATTAACCCAGAATGTCAAGCAGACCCTATAGTCAACAATTGACAAGTAGATATTTGTGATGACAAAAGACACCACTTACTAATCGACACGCATGTGTAATTATTTCAGTTATTAATTCGACAATATGGTGTACGTCTCGCTAGTTATTTTAAGCATGTTTTATGCAGCCATTACAGTCTGTTGTTAAGTGTACAGGAGTATACACGCTCTTTGCGTACACTAACTTGGTTTTTAAAACCGTTATGTAAATCATGTCTAACAACCGGAGCAGTTATGTCTTATATCTTAAATCTACATTTAAAAGTTACGTCACAAACCAATTTCAAGCCAAATATAATAATTATTTTTTCCCCTTAATTTTCGCAACACCGATTATTTTAAGAATATCGACATCAACATTGCTTATCTAATCTTAAAGATAAAAAAAAATAAAGATTCCTTTAGATCCATTGGGTAGATGTTTTTTTTTTACTTCAGCATATGTATGGATGGTGTGGCCAGCACAATAATCAGCTGCCTTTACTTTCCCCAACGTATGTTAGGTACTCATCATAGCTGGGCTGACTCAGGGACGTACTACAGTCACTGGTCCGAACCGGGATCCGAACTCGAGACCTTCGTTAACAGCCTAATTCTCTACCATTTGACCACACCATCCCAAATCCAGTGTTTCTTCCAGACTTTTTTCTCCGGGGGGGGGGGGGGGGCGGGGGGCGGGGCGGTAGACTTTCTTCGGGAGGGGGGGGGCGGACACTGTTAAAAGTATATATTTTCTATATAAATTTCATTTCCTCCGGGGGGGGGGGGGGGCGGTAAACTTTCTTCGGGGGACGGGGACGGAGCGCCTCCCCCCCCCCCCCAAGATGCCTGGAAGAAACTCTGCCCAAATCTTAAACATAATACTTAAATAATTGTCGTTAGCCTAAAATATATCTTGTTGAAGAGTTTTTTTTTTAAATAGAGACCAATGCTCCTACTGACCTCATGTGATAGACCAGGTCTGATGTCATACGGAAGGTCGCGTTGCACTTGGCGCACCAGTTCTGCGACAGGTTTAGAGCGTTCATAGGGGAGGACAAGATGGTGGGGTTCGTACTCTGAAGCAGCTTCTCCACCATGGGGTTCGTGCTCTTGAGGAAGCCGAGCGTGGAGATGTGTCTGTCGGCGAACAGGGCCTGCTTGGCCAAGGACTCGCTGTTTCTGATGTTGGCGGCGAAGGATTCGGTCAGCGGCCCGACGGTGGGGATGGTGGCCCGGCACATTTCTAGCAGACCCGGGGGGATCTGGTCGGGGAATGCCGAGTGCGGGAGGGGGATCCCCCGGGAGGTGCCGATGAGAGAGCTGCTGGAGACCCCGAGAGATGACGTCGGAGGGATCATTTGTAGGCGTGGCATGTACAGCCCCATGACAGACCCCCGTGGGGATTCGGCGTGGGATGATGATGATGATGATGATGATGATGATGATGATGATGAAGACATGGGTGACGAGATGGTTTTAACTGGGGGGCGGGGAGGGGGCGGCATGGAAGAAGAACACGGTTCGCTGGGTTGCGATCTGGAAGTGGGGGAGGGGTCGGGGAGACGCGTGGGGGAGACGGGCGGGGAGGAGGGCGACTGGGCTGCGAATGTCAAGGTCGTTTGAAGCTTCTCGACTTTTCTGAAGGCGCTCATGCTCTCCGAGTGGGACTCCAGGCCCTGGTCGCGCGGCGTCTCGTCCTTGAGCCTGCTCACGTGACTTTTACTCAAGTTCTCGATGGAGTGGGTGATGACGGAATCTTTTTTCTTCCTCTCGATATCAATGGCCTGTTTTTTGGGGAAAGGCTCGTCCCCCGTCATCTCACCGATGTATGCTCTTTTATGGAAAAGCGAAACCACGCCATTGTTGTTGTTATTGTTGTTCAGGTACGCCAGTTTATGTTCGTGATCTTCGGGGTTTCCCATTTCTTCAGCTACTTTCGCTATCCTGCTGTAGATTGTGTTTCCGTTTATTTTCGGCGACGCCGGTAAAATTCGGGAGAGTTTGAGATCGTCGGCGGTGAACGTGCACTTGAACTTGAGGTGAGCCCTGAGCGGGTAGGGGAAGTCAAACATCTCCCCGCAGTGTGAGCAGATGAACTGCTCGTCGTCTGGGAAAGAAAAGGAGAAAGAGACGGTTAGTGGGGCAGTGTTTCTTTCATAATTTTTTCTTCTGGGTGGGGGGGGGGACTGGTTAAAAGTATATATTATCTCTATACATTCTATTTCATTTAGGGGGTGAGGGAAGGGCGTGTGTGTGACGGGGGGGGGGGGGGGGGGTCGACGTTCTTCCGATGCCTGAAAGAAACTGTTAGCGGGAGATTTATGAGAGGTAGGGAGGTAGAGGCTATCTGTGGGAGGTGGGGAGGTTGTGACGCTGTAGGTGCGACATCGGATGATGGGCGACTTCTTTCAACAATCGTAACTCTTCTATTTATAGGCTAACTTCTTGGTTTTAAAAATGCATTGTACTTCGAAAGGAACTACTGCAGGGGCCATTCATAAATTACGTCACGCTTTTGAAGATATTTTTTTACCTCAAACACCCCCCCCCCCCTTCTCCATTGTTACACATTACAAAAAGCCAGACCTATAAATCTAAAATGACGTACCATCTTCCGCCTACATTGCTTTTTTTTTTAAACATTTAAAGCATCGTTTTCTCTGTAAAATATTTTCTTTTCTGGACCAACATTGAATATATTCAATTTATTTTTTATTACAATTTATAAAAACAGCATTTTAAAAATGCAAAATAATGTCTAAAATTCAGTTTCTTACATACTTTTATAATTTTTCCGAACAACCCTCTTGTCCCACATCGTCAAATAATTCCCCCCCCCCCCCCCCCAAGGCTAGGAGTGTGACATCGTTAATAGAAGACACCTTAAACCTATTTTAGAATTACATGATACTTTTTTTTTGTTTAAAAAAAACGCCAAAAGAATGCAACCTATAAATACCTCGTTTACAGTTAGTCTGCAGCTCCGGTACGCCTAAGAGCTGAGTGAAATCCTTGCTGTACCAGACGAGAAGCTCCTCCCCGGCCTTGACTATCCTCAGCGTTCTGTAGTAGACGCCGCCATCTTTGGGATACGCCTCCATGTTCTGCTCGTCACCGTCCCTCGCCACAGACACATAGGGCAACCAGTCGACGCTACAAAAACCTGGCGACCGATCTTGGGTGTCTACCTGTAAAAAAATTGTAAAATATTCGTAAAATATTAATTAGACATCTAATTAAGTCAAATTTGATGTTTAATTGCATTATTATCGGGTCTTGAAACACGTGCCAAGTTTGAAACGAATCGGTAAGTTAGAAGTGCTCGAAATTTTGCTCGGCATTTTTGATTTATTACGATAGACAGGAAGCAAGTTAAATAAAAGCTTGTAAAACTAAACCTCTTGTCCTTTGTTTAGCATTTGATAGTAAGTAAAAAAATGGTATTTTTGGTTTTAAAGAAACAGTCAAGATTTCGTCGTAAAAAAAGTTATTCTATTATCTTTTCAAGTAGTAAGCGATTATGTTAGATACGTATGATGGGTAGGATTTATTTTAGGCGTCTTTCAGGGGGTGCTCCCACCCCGAACAACATAGAAAACAAATAATTTATGCAGAAAATATGTACTTTAATGAGTGCCCCCCCCCCCCACCCCCTTCCGGACGTTTTAACTCCTTCACGGAAGGTTTCAGTGTTTCTTCCAGACTTTTTTCTCCGGGGGGGCACTTGAAATCTTCGGGGGGGGGGCGGTAAACTTTCTTCGGGGGGGGGCGGACACTGTTAAAAGTATATATTTTCTATATAAATTATATAAATTTCATTTCGTTCGGGGGGGGGGGGGGGGCGGTAAAAATTTTTCGGGGGGGCTTCGCCCCCCCGAAGAGATCCCTGGAAGAAACTCTGGAAGGTTTTACAGCCCGCAATCTTCCCCCCCCCCCTTCTTTGGAGTTAAATGCCTAAAAAAATACTGGTGATAGGATGTTAATAGTTTGGTTTGATTATAAAAAAAATGTGGTTTTTTTTAATAAAAATATTTTTTTTGGTAAAGAAAACGGCTAAAATTAAAACTGAATACGACAAATAGCAGTTTAAAAAATATCATGTTTGCTATTTCTGACATGCGAATTTCTTCCGCCGTTTAATTATACGAACGTGAAAAACAAAATTAATGGCGCAAAATAAAAATCGAAAATTACAAACTGATGATTGTAGATAATGGTAATTATGACATTATAAGCTGACATGACGCACTAGCAAGATGGCAGTAGGTGACATACGACAAGCATTTGTGACATGTCAAACATCGTGAAGACATGCCATGATGATAAGACAAGACACTAACAAGACACAAGACAACAAATATAGCGACAAGACGCCAGCAGTTATATAGTAACATGAAGTTATACTGATTCTGAACGACACCAATATGTCATGACACAACACACAGACTTATGACGTCATTAAACAAGATGACGTCAGACTTACCCGTACGACCGCTCCGTTTGACGGCTTGTCATTGGTCAACATCCCGATGACGTAGGCGGGGTCAGTGATGTGTGCTGGGAAGGGGCCGAAGATTTGACCGTAGTCGATGTCGGTGATGGTGACCACACCCATGGTCCAGAGTTCTGTGAGGGAGGGGGGGCTGTAGGTTGTAATAGGTTTGTGAGGTTTACACATGAGTGGTTCACACAAAAACCTAGTAGGTTGTAATAGGTTTGTGAGGTTTAAAGATGAGTGGTTCACACAAAAACATGTAGGTTGTAATAGGTTTGTGATGTTTACACATGAGTGGTTCACACAAAAACCTAGCAGGTTTGCTTGTGTTAGTATGAATGACATAAAAACCTACATGTAGGTTTTCTTAGATTAATGTGAGTGGCTATCATACAAAAACCTACATGTAGTAGGTTTTTTTTAGTTTAAATCATTGTGTCTGACACAAAAACCTACAGTTTGTAGGTTTTTTTTAGCTTTAACGTGAGTGACACAATAGACCCTTTTTATGTGGTGGGTTTTCTTAGTTTTAATTAATGTAAAGTTTGACACTAAAACCTATAGTTAGTAGGTTTTTTAAATTTAAATGAGAGTTGCACTTCGATTTGTATTTTTCTTTAAAGTTTACATGTTATAGGTTTTCTTAGTCTTAATATGAGTGTCTGTTACAAAAACCTGCCGTTGGTAATTTTTTCTAGTTTAAACGTGACACAATAAAACATATAGTAGGTTTGCTTAGTTTAAATATGAGTGGCTGTCACAAATTGTCGAAGCTCAAGAAAAGACATTTTTTTTTGTCTACAGAACTTGAAGATTTATGGAATACAGAAACATATTTTTATGGCATTCTCTAGGATCAGATAATTCTATTGAAATTGTAGCTCATTGGTTAGGATGCTAAGGTCGATAGGGTATGGAAAAAATAGGACCCTGATGGTATTCGGTGCTCAACAAGGCTAGTGTTTGGTGTCCCGCTAAGCTAGAGTCACATTTGTGCGTCTCACTAGAGTCACTTTTGTGTCCAGCAAGCTCGAGTCACTGTTACATCCTACTATGCTAGAGTCACTATTGATGTCCTACCAAGCTAGTGTCACATTTGTGTGTCCTACTATGCTGTGTGTCCTACCATGCTGTGTGTCCTATCATGCTAGAGTCACTATTGATGTCCTACCATACTAGTGTCACATTTGTGTGTCCTACTATGCTGTGTGTCCTACCATGCTGTGTGTCCTATCATGCTAGAGTCACATGTGTGTGTCCTACCAAGCTAGTGTCACATTTGTGTGTCCTACCATGCTGTGTGTCCTATCATGCTAGAGTCACTTTTGTGTGTCCTACCAAGCTAGTGTCACATTTGTGTGTCCTACCATGCTGTGTGTCCTATCATGCTAGAGTCACTTTTGTGTGTCCTACCAAGCTAGTGTCACATTTGTGTGTCCTACCATGCTGTGAGTCCTACCATGCTAAAGTCACTTCTGTGTGTCCTATCATGCTAGAGCCACTTAACTGTCCCACCAAGCGTGTGTCTCCCCCCCCCCCCCCCGCCTCCCTCCCCTATTTTAACAGTAATAAACCCCGTCGGTCACGTGACCGGTGGCTAAACCAATCTACCCCCTTTCCAAAAGGTTCACGTGACTCGGCTAAACCAATCAGGCCCCACTCCACCCGTAATTTCTTTCCACACTTCATTTTCCGGGGCAAGCGCATCACGAGAAGGGGGTCTCCGGCTAAGCTGATTGAGAAAGGCCAGCCGCTCTCGCATACGCCTGGCTGAGACGAAAATATGTTTTGTAGCCAGCTAAGTGATTTCAAGTAGGACCCAATAACAGCAAGCCAAAGGCCCGCCGAATGAAAAACCTGTTTGCCCGTTAATAGAGTCAATTGGAATTGATTACAGCTAGCCGGACTATCTCATGTGTGGGGGGAGATGGCAGAGTCGGCTTCGTGTCAGATTATCGTCGTAAATTTTGGGTAGGGGGGAAAAAAAAGTTCGATCTCTAGCAGATGGTGAGGTAGGCGTTAGAAAAAATACTGTGTGATAAAAAAAATGGCTGGGAGCTAAATTGTTTTGTGATGGAGTGGCATTTTCTTTCTCGTTTTTTTGTCTCGTTAGCTAGGGCTCTGCGAGAAAGAAAACAATGACAGTGTGTAAACTGTACATTGAAGGTTTGTTTTTCTTAGATTTTTTAATTTAAGGCCCGAGTCTATTTTAATCCTAAGGAAAAAAAGACAACACATTCAACATAATCGTAAAATCATCTTAATTGCAGAGCCATCTCAATTATTAAGTCAACTTCATCACCTTCATGATAAAGTCATCACAATCGTAAAGTCAACCCAGTCATAAAGTTAACACAAACATAAAGTCAGCAGTCTTATAAATTCAACCCAAAACTAAAAAACAACAACCTCAAACTATCAGGCAGTTGTAGCAGTTTGCCAGTCGATTAACATAGTCCTCCCCAGCAGTGTTAAGAGGCGGAAGGGGGGGGATAGAGATACCATCCACGGGCGTGACATCAAAACTAACTAAAACAAGCAGGACAATCTGGGCAGGATCTAGACAGGTCCTAGACAAGAGCTAGGCACAGAGTTTCTTCCAGGCATCTTTCGGAAAGTCTACCGCCCCCACCCCCGAACGAAATGGAATTCATATAGAAAATATATACTTTTACCAGTGTTCGCCCTTCCTCCCCAGGAAAATGTTGACCGCCCCCTCCCGAAAATATTAAGTGCTTCCCCAGAGAAAAAACTCTGGAAAAAACACTGGCTAGGCAGGACCTAGACGGGAACTAGACAGGAACTAGACAGGAAATAAGCAGAATTTAGACAGGATCAAGGGAGGAGCTAAGCTAAGCATGACCTAAGCAGAACAGGCGGAACCTAAGCTTTGTCGCAATATGAGGGACAATGACAACTTAGAGCTGGGTTGACCCGGGATCCAAACGGGATGCTTTTGGTTTAAGTGGATCTGTGCTATATAGCCCGACCACTCAACGTTAGTGTTAACTTAAGACCTGATGAAATTGGGGGGGGGGGGAAGGGAAGCGAGGGTGGAGGTTAAGGGGGTCATCCATAAATGACGTCACGTTTTTCTTGACGATTTTTAACTCTCCCCTCCCCTCCTTCACACATCGTCACGCCCATCCCCCTAAATGACGTCACACCTCAGCCTTCAACCCCCCCCCCCAAGAAAAATTCCAGTTGAATTTTTCTTAAAATACGATATTTTTCCAAAATCTTGTGTAAACTCTGCCAACAATAGAGTGCTTAATCAATTCCTATTACAATTGATTAAAATATTTATGTAAAACGCGAAAAAGCGGCTAAAATTAGTTAAAAAAAATGCTTTTTTAAAATGCAAAAGTGTGACGCCAGACCAACTGACCCCCCCCCCTCCTCATTACACACCGTCACAAAATTACGGACCTCCCTCCCCGCTACGAGTGTGACGTCATTTATTTGAAGACCCCTAAGTGAATGTGTGATGATAGTTGTGTGTGTGTTAGGTTAAATTTTGGGGGGGGGGGGGGTGCGTCTTAATATCGAAAGTATATTCGGATGGACTTAGTGTGAAAGAAACACATTTCAAAACAATTGTCTGAGCTAAAACAAACGACGGAGCTAAAATAAATGACTGAGCTAAAAAAAAAAGACAGAAAGCGCTCTCCACATTGTCAAGTAATTAATGTCTTTTTTTTCCCCGGCCCCCAGAAGAAAGATGGCCGCCATCGTTGACGTGAGTAAAGGCTTTAGCCCTCATGATTGGTAGCTGAGGGGGGGGGGGGAGCGATGTGGATCTGTTGGGTAATACTTTATGGAATACGGCATATGGGGTATGACATTTGGAATATGACATATGGATGGAAAATGACGTATGGAATACGGCATATGGGGTATGACATTTTGAACATGACATAATATGAAACATGACATATGGATGGAACATGACATATGGATGAACCACGACAAATAGAATACGGCACACGGGTTGTTACATTTTTAACATGACATAATACTGAACATGACATATGGAATGTAACATACGGTATATAACATATGGAATGCGACGTATGAAAAACAGTATTAAGAACACCCCAGAATCATCGTGTAGAATTCTTTAAAAATTCCATGAATTGTGACCAAAGGCGTCAACTTAGTTAAGGGTTGTATAATTATAACACGTCATTTTCTTTTTTCTGAACTCTCCCCCCTCCCCCTTCCATCATTTATGGCCGTTTTACTATGTTTTATAAAAGCGTGTACATAATACAGGATCATATGCTATTACTGCAATCTAAGGAGGTCGGTGTGGTCGAGTAGGTAAACTTCATAGTTGCTAAACCGAAAGGTCTCAATTTCGAACCCTCGGGCAGATGAGGCTCGACAGACAAATCCAAACAACTGCTGCCTTGTAGTTTGTTCTTGTTTGGACAAAAGCTATGGGACCAAATCCAAAAAGAAAAGCAGGCTGAAATCGGAGTCAATGGCCTCAATGGCGCATAACCAGTTGATACATAAAACTTTATTGTGTTGGAGGGAGTCTCTTCAGACACTAGAATTAAGAACGCAGAAGAAGAACTACAATCAAGGGTAGAATTATGGTCAGGGTTATTTGTCATAATTACTGTTAGTGGCCGGGTATGTGTTAATTAGAGCCAGAGCTAGGGTTAGGATAACGATACTAGCAAAATGTAAATCCTAATACTCCTTGCGGAACTTTTTGTTAAGTACTCAGTTACCTGACCGTAGCGCGGCGCTGTGTACACAGAAATCAATCCGCCCTAATCGAAACCGGTAGCGACGCTCGAAGCCCCGGGAATAGATAAATCTGAAAGATGTCTTACGTTCCTAAAATCTTAAACGTGGACATTTTTTTTTCTTCTCCCTACCCCCTTTCCTTTTTCTCCTGAAAATTTCCTTTCCGATCGGCCAACCCGTTTGTCTTTTTTTCCATTTCCATCAATTCAACCTGGTTTGTCTCCCCTGGGCCCATCTTAGCGGTGATGTGGTCCAAATTGCGTTGGATGCAGGTCCAGAAGTAGCCAATCAACAAAGCTTACTGCTTCCCAAGATGGCGGCCCCAGAGGGAAAAGCGCTGAACTGATCAGCCGGTAATC